CTGGCTAACGGTAAAAGACGAGATGGTAATATATATATATAGAGAGAGAGAGAGAGAGAGAGAGAGAGAGAGAGAGAGCTAACAATAATTATGCAATCTTCTGTAAAAAATTCGAACATTTAACTTCGCAACTTAAATAATAATATTGTCATTAAAAATTTTTTAGCTTTATATTAGAGGTTAAAAATTAAAATTCGCAATATACAATTTCCTTGCTTAATTATCAGTCCTTAATTTCATAAAATTACTATAAAATTCAGAACAGTCACATGTGGTTCTAATACTTGCCTAAATTAAACCTGGCACCATTTTCTCCAACTACTTAAATAAAATTATTAACAATATTATTAAAGAAGGTTTTTCTTGGATTATCTCTAATACATGTTGTTGCTCAGCACTTATTTTATTTTATATAGTATTTGTAGATTTAAAGATGAATATTATATTTTTAACATATCTGGAATTTTTATTGGCTGTTCATCATATTGCCTATTTGCTTTATATATTCTTGCCTAACTTTGTATTTTAGTTCTTTATTTTAGTATTACTTTCTTCTTTTATTTTGTTTCTTGTCTGCATTATTCGCAATTATCGAATTAGAATTATTATTCTCTAAAATAAGTAGTTATAGCAATTAGACAGACTTCCAATTAAAAGTCGTTACTTTATATGTATTGAAATAATCATCGCTAAAACTACATTTTAAATAAATCAATTTTTAATTTATGTCACCATTTAATTTATTTTAATCCATTAACACATACAATAAATTTAATAACATACAACGTGTTCAGATTAATTTAATTATGAGACAATGGGGATTGGGGAGTATGTTGGTGATATTATTAGCGAGTTGTATTAAAATTTTTAGAAAAAAATATAATACCAATTTTTTGTATTTTATTACAAAATAGGTTTTATCTTAAAAAAAAGCCGCATATCTTTCGTTGAGCAACTCGTTTTTATATCCTGCAGGAAATTTCGATGGATTTTTAAAAATGATGGAAAAGGGTTTACTTTAAGAAAATAAATGTTTACTTCAACTTTTAACTACTATAAAATGCCCTTAATTACCATTGTATTATTTACTATGCCAATTTAACCTTTAATTAATTTTTTGATACTTCATTCTTTTTTCTATCTGTGATAAAATAAGAGTTTTGGGCTTGTTTTTTAGCCCTTATTTTGTTACCAAATGTAAACATAATAAATGTAATGCAATTGTATATTTCTTGTGACTCAAGTTATACTGTTTGTAATGCTCATGCACATGTAAACTATTTATATTTGCTGTATTTTGTATTTTTGTTATTTATACTTCTCCTTTTATCCTTTTTATGTTTTTATCTTGATTATACAGAAGTAATAGATCAGGACCGTTATAAACAAAGGTTTTATGCTTTTAATTAGAGCATTTTTTTTTAAATGTCCACTAAAATGGAATTTTTTTTGTAATATTACGCAGTCATTTTCCATATTTTTGATTTATTATTTATTTTTGTGTGTGCTTAATTCGGACATCTTACAACTTATCAACTACTTATCTACAAACTTATCTGCATTATAAATAAGTTTACGTAATATTACGTAAATAAGAAATATCTCAAAAAAGTAGTTCGAGAACATTTTTTTCACTAAATTTAGACCCCCAAAATGTCACTCTAGTGGCCGTTTCTTGTTTGAAATATAGTCTCTCTTAGCTTTTATATGTATCTGTATGAACAGGTGTGTGTTCATAGATACATAATTAAAATGAAAGAAGAGAATTCAAGATGTGATCAAAACAAAATTTTAAGGCAGTCGACAGAGTAGAATAACAAAAAAAAAAAAAAAAAAAAAAAAAAAAAAAAGAAGTTTTTTCGCTGATTAGCAAACTACACGCTAACAGATCTTTAATCAGAATTCCATCTTTCTAAAGCTGGAGTAATATGGAATATGTGGTGAAAATTTACTTTAAAAAAGGAGAATAATTTGATAAACAACAGTGAATTTAAAAGTGTATGTTTATTGTGAAAATTGTAAAAATATATCAATAGGAATTTTGTAATTTATTTACAAAATTTGCGAACAGGTGACGTTGCAAATTATAAAACACCAGAGCGAAAGAGCGTTGAACCATGATTGGAAATTGTGGTATCGGAGTAAGAGGTTCAAATCATGTATTCTATTGAAAAACATGTATTTATCCATACCTGCCAACTTTTAATCCTTTCGAGGATGATTTTCCCCAGTGGTAGTAAAATGGAATTTAAATTACAACTCCAGGCAGAAACATACGCTGTATTTTGAAGGAGCTTGTGCTAACTACCACAACAGTATTACATATTAATATATACTAGTGGGCTGCGCCCCCTGCTCGCTGACGCTCGCCAACCCCCGAAAATTGCTACGCGATGTTATATGGTTTGCTCCGCAAACCAAGCTCGCTTCGCTCGCTACTACATAACTTGGCTACATTGCAAATGCACAAAATTCTAAGAATTCAAAACAATCATTCAAATCCATATAACAACTTTTTTTTCTAAAAAAAATTACATCTTTTTAGTAAATACTGAGTCCTTAAAATAAATTTGAATTCAAATAAATGACATGTAATTCGTTAAATCTATTAGAAATGTGCTATAGTATAAAATCTTAAGATAAAATTTCTAAAACTGATATCTCTTTAAAAAGATTAAAATTTCGGCTATAATTAAGTCTATTAAAAATTTAAATAAGTGAANCCGTCTTACGGCATTTGTATTCTTTTCAGCAACTCTGTACATCGCAGAGAGCTATTTATTGGCGAAACACCTTGTTTCAATAAAATTAAATCGAAATGTTTTCTATGTGTGACGTCACGCATCCCAGAGAAGGTAAACATAATACGTAATTAGTGTTTCTTATTTTATTTGTCGATGAACTTTTGTAACAAAATAATTTACAAGTATCACAAATAATCTTCTAATAAAAAGCATGCCATCTAACTCATTTTTAGATGATTCTATAGACAATGCAAAATTTAGACATGTCTTCAAAGTTTTAGCTAAATGTCATCGTAGTCTTCTTGCTGCACTTGATTTATGTCGAACAAGTCCTGATGTCGTCTTTGTTCTTCATTTTGATAGAGTGGATTTGATCGAGAAAAGTCAACATCTTCCTGCTGCTGCTGTGAAAATTCGAAATTATGTTGCTGTTGCTGTGTTTGGTCAAAACTGAAATTGTCGTCTTCTTCCTGCTGTTGTCCACCAAATATTCCTAAACGATCGTATTCTTGTTCCACCTGCTGGCCAAACGGTTCTTCATCTTCCAACGAAGATTGTGACCACCGGTTTGCTTTCGTAAAGTCAATCGTTTTCACATCCCCTGTTTTTGGATCTTTTGGAGTGCATTTGGAGCATTGGCATGTCTCCGGCTGGAGGAACGTCTTCTTGATTCGGCTTCCGTCCGGACACCTGAGCTCAATTGGTCTATTGACAGTGACATTGACTTTGCAGCATTTGCAAGAATCTTTGAAATCGCCATCCTCTGAAAATAAACAATAGATTACATACTGCAACCAAAATGAAATTCAACAGGTGTTGATTCAAACAGTGAAGAAAAAACTGAAGTATTAATCTGGTTTTTTTAGAAAAGGAATTTTGGAAGTCTTCAATAGATCGAAATTTCACCATGACTTAATACAAAATAGTTGCAGGGGCCCCGCGAACTTATGCAGTTGAGAGGGGGAAATTTTCATTTTGCCGAATGACCAAATCTTAAATTAACGTCTTCAATTATGCTTACATATTATAATAAAAAACATCAAAAGAGACTCTAAAATAACTTCTAAGTGATGAAGTTATAAAAAACATAGTTGTCAACTTTTCTTATTTCCCCCGAAAGATTTTACTTTTACAGTTTAAGTGTTAACAAAATTTATACTTTGTTATTTTATTCAGTGTTTAATAAATTTGATTTAAAATGTTCTTGCTATGGTTAAATTAACTAGGTGTGATGACACCTAGTTAATTTAACCATATGTGTTACTGTGAATGACCGAAATTGGTGGTTGTTGTCTTTCGCCGGAGAATGTTGACAGTCACATAGTCGTTTCGGTAAATGTCCGCAATATATATACTTGGTCCAGTTAAGTGCCACTGCCCGGTATGACCTACATTAATGTTTTTTTAAGGTCAAGTGCTACTGCCCAGTACGCATTTTACCCGTACTTCGAACACTGATGTTTCTCCTAATCTATCCTCCTCAGACATTAAAACATCGAATAAGTATGATAATATCTGCGAATAAATTAATCTAAAATCAGATATAACAAATATTTTGGATATCCATCAAAGCGATTACGTGATTGTTGACATTCACCGGTGAAAGTCGACATTCTCTTGATTTCGGCTATTCACTTTAACATATACACTATCTAACAAGCATTAATGTGGTGCTAAAGAGATTTATGACTGCAGTTTAGAAACTAAGTATTATTGGTCTAGTTAAAAATCTACAACTACGCATATTAATCTAGAGGTCTTCCACCTTTTGCAATTCGAGGACACAACAATAATTCAGGAAATCGCAAGAGCCTCGCATGTGTAAGTTAAAGGAAAAGAAATTCAATAACAGGAGGAGAATAGTAGTTCATCTTAGTATTATAAGGTATTGAATACTTTCTGTTTCGGAATTTTGCTATCTGAACGCATTAAACAAACAGCTCCTTTAACCAACTATAACGTGTTTACAGTATGAAAAATACTGAGTTCGCAAATTTCCCTGATGGATGGTACAAAAAGCTACTATTATAAGCTAATTTAAATCTCTCTAGTTTGGATGAAACCTGCTTGCATGCATTCCGTACTGATGGCATGTCCGTTTATGAGTTGATATGCATTCTCAATCCTTATTAAGTGTTCTTAGTTTTCCTAGTTCGAGTATGTAATCACAGTGCTAAATCACCAAGAAGATTTAAAATGTGTAGCAAAAGTAGATTTTTACCTGACATCCAAAAGCATTTTTATCCAGAATTAAACTGTTGAGTACCATCCTCTCAGTAAGTGGCAAAGAGTTACACGACCTCGCTTGTCGAGTTTTGATACGAGGGTGTGGGAACAGAAAAAAACTAAACGAACGAGGTATTGTTTTTGAAGCAGATTGTATTACTTTAGAATAACGGTAGTATTTAATAGTTTTAAAAGTTGCAATTACTAAATTACAATTTTTAGCTTATTTAATTTAAAAGTTTATTTTTAATTTCTTAAACTTTTTACGTTGCTATCTCGTAGCTATTTTGACAAGTCAGTTACTCTCAATTGTGGTTTTTACTCAAAATTGATTGAGAGGAAATTTAAGTAGACAGAATTAATATCTATATTGCAAATGAGTGCAGGCTAAAGTAGTATTTTATTTTTCTCAAAAACCCTTGTAGCTTCAGATAAATTATAGTTTTCTTGGTTCGTTGTTGGCCCTATTTATTTCAACGAAAAAAGGCACGTAGAAAATTGTCTGAAGAGTCGAATGTAAGCTTTTTCCCCACTCTCACTTTAACACAACGCAGGCAGTCGTGTATATTTTTACCATTTACTAAGAGTAGGATACTTAAAAATTTATTCCTGGTTAGAATATATCTGGATATCAGAGTTTCAACGATTTTTGAACTATGCCTTAGCCCACAACCTTAAATAAACACCCCCATAAAACGTTTATTTGGCGTTGTAAAACATGATCATGGCGTTGCAAAACTTAATCCAAAAAAACATTTCTTTTGAAATAAAATTGTACTGCAAAATAAATAAGAACGTTAATCATCGATTATTTCATATCTTTAATCTGTGGTAATTTTAAATTCTTTCCAAAATTTTTAATTCAAAATCTGTTACTTTGAGTTTTTAATATTATCCGTGTGTACTTAAAAGCTATTTTTTATAATTTTCACTAATTAATTTTCAAAATCTGTAATTCTTTATTTCTCTCTTTTTACTTTTAATTTAGGCCGGCCTGGTGTCCAAGCGGTTAGCGTGCCTGACTGCGAAGCCATAGGCTGCGGGTTCGAATCCCGCTCTGGGCATGGATGTTTCTCTCTCTCTTTGTGCTGTCCTCTGTTGTGTGTGTGTATGATGTGTGAATGTGGCCCACCCTATAAACGGGTTTGTGGCAGTGTGGCGTGGGCAATGTTGCTCGCCTCCGTGACTTTGGTTCACAGGTGCCCACTGGGTAACGCGAAATGAGCAACAATTCTGGCATAGTATAGGCAAAGATTCAAATTCAGTGCCTGCCATTAGGAAAAAAAAACTTTTAATTTAAGCACTTCTACTTTTACTCTTTACTATTCAAAAGTAGCGTTCCTATATATACCTAGCAACAATTTTATCTTGGCCCCAGTAGGGTTCAAAATTGGCCTGATATGGGTCCGATAGGAACTTATAGGATATTGGGATATCTAGATTTTTTAATATTGGTCCTAGAATGACCTATATAGGGCCTACACTGAACAATATAGAACCCATATTGACTAAATAATGAATATAATATATCGGGTGAATCTGACAATTCTATATATAGGACTGATATGTATAGGACTGATATTCTATATATAGGACTATATTCTATATATAGGACAATTCTATATATAGGACTGATATATATAGAATTGGAGTTTGTGGCTGTAAAATATCGAGTGAATCGGTACATTCTATATAGGGCCAATATTGGAAAAATAAAGGCCCTTTGAGCCCTTACTGAACCAAGATTCATGAATGTTGGCCCAATGAGGGCCCAAGTTATTTTGCTGCTAGGGATGTTGACGACTTTATCACGAAGAGCAACTGAAAATTGCAATTACCAAGAGAGTAGTATGACTGCGAATGGCAGGCTCCAGAACATTTTAGCAAATTTGGAACAGGCTTGTCGTTTACGCAAATACCACCACGACTTCTGTCAGAAAATGTGAAGAATCCAATCGTTTCTTCTTCTGGTATTGGTCCAGAGTTACAACCGATTTCTAAGAAGGCAGAACACATGTAACAATTGAGATATACATAAATTAGGCATGAATCAATGAAATATGGCGATTCCAGTGCACAACTTAAAAAAATTTTTAGAACGTTTATTAACTTTTTTCCTAAGGATCCGATATAAAATGCACTAATTCATGTTTTGAATGAACCACTCAAGCTAATTAATTAGATCTGAAAGTTTATATTCTTAACCGACATTGCGTTTAACGCAGCATTTGGCAGTGATGCAAGAAATATTTTTTTTCGATTAAAAAAAAATTTTAAAATTAGTGTTTAAGCTTATTTAATAATTTCAAATGCGACAAAGACTTAAGTCTTAAAAATATTACAAAACATCAAAAAATACACATAAAAAATGGTTACTAATATTATTAGTAGTTTTGGAATGAACACAATATGGTAATGAACACTAATGTCTTAATTTCACCGAAAAATTTAAAAAAAAATTATGTAATTAAAACGCCAGTTTTTTATATAACAAAAATACAGGACACTTTACGAAAAAGTCATACTCGCTAGAATAATATCAAGACAATACAGAACAAAGTTCTTAAATTGTTAGAGCGCCTAGATTTGTACGAAATACTATACTATGAAGAAATCTCAAGGTACCAGCCATCAGCCAACCGTTAGTTTGAATGTTAAGTTATTCACCGGAGGAATTAGATGCACCAATTGCGAACTACAAAATAGGTCTATAATTTTGAGATAATGGAAGAAATGGACAAATACAGCCAGGTAATGGCATTCTTCCTCTTCGATGAGGTCTTTTCTCATTAATTTAAAAGCTGTACATAATTGTGCATAACTCTTATAAATGTAAATATCTTTTTTTTTTAAAAAATCATTGCTCTTTGTATCCTACTCAGATTAGCTACCCTCTTTTTATGAGGCATTCACTCATTCACTTCAGATGAATGAGTGAATGCCTCCTTGGGCAGTATGTTTAGATAAATAAATATACAGGCGTATATAGTCATTGCATGGTATTAGAATTATAGTTATTGCATGTGGCGGTCTTGGAATGCGAATATCGTTCTCCCTGTATTTATGAGGTATCCATTTGGAATTTTCGGGATGACAAAATTTCATTTTCTTAGTTCTTTTATAATGTGTAGTATTTAAAATGGTTGATTTTGCACAGTAAGACATTATTTTATTATACCTAACAGTGCATTATTAAATAATGCACAGTAAAGTGGTCTATTTTTAATTAATAAATTATGAAATTTTAGCATAACTGTGCGTCTCTTGACTGAAAATAAAGTAAAACGAAACGGTGATACTGCTCACCCAATTTTGACTTATAATTTTATATTTAGTTTTATAACCGATTTAAGCCGACCTGATTTTGGGTTCACGACTACGAATGTTTGACCCCGTAGCCTTGTAATTTTGAGCCCAATCCATAAGGCAAGGGAACTCCTGGATCAAGTATTGGGAGAAGCCTTTGCCGAGGACTTTTAGATTGAATTAACCCGCATTTACGTTCCATGGAGAGGAAAACCTTCAACTGTTAGTTTGACAGTGAGGGGACTCTAACCCGTGATCTGTTTACCACTGCGGAGGTTTTACAACAGCACTGTGGTGGGTGCGAGCGGGATACGGAATTTGTATCGACCAGCCGTAGCTTCGATTCGAACGCGGTTCACCTCATTGGAAGGCAAACGTTCTATACCCAGAACCACCACGGCATTCTAATTTTTATTGACTACTTTAAATTTTGTCTAATTTGAACAATTAGGGTCAAAGAGGACTTAGAGAGAAATTTTACCATATGTGGTTATTGATTCTGCTGACATTCTGTTTGTTATCCTAAACTGAAAAATTTAAGTAGATTTGATAAGAGTATGAAAATGCCCATATTATGTCAGACTAAACAGAAAAGCTGTTTAAAAATTCCAAAATAACGTAACACTGAAATAATGTGATGAAAGCTAAATATACAGTTTCAAATTTCTTACCACTTGTAAGGTTACAAACTTCACAGCATCCACTTTCATCCAGTACAATTTTGTTCTAAAAAGTTTAATATTAATAAGTATTTTAACATAATAACAGGAATAATGATCAAAGCAATCAGTTAAATTAGAATGTGATATATATTGTACAAGAGGACAAATCATACAAAACTTTTAAAGGAATTCCAAATTTTATAAACGAGAAATGCTTTTAAATTTAATATGAGCAGTAGAACTATCTAGTTTCTTCTTCTGTTTTGCTTAAAGGTGCTATTTACAATTTTATATCAGTGAGAGCGAGAATGTAATTTGTGGTTAGATGGTACAGTTACATTGAGAGTACAGCTAAACCAAGATTACCAAAACTAAAATACAAAAGAACTCATTATGATGTATAGTGTTCATCTCGAATATATCTATACTACATCATTATCGAATTATAGATATGATTATCCTTTCTCGGTATAAAATAAATTTTATACAACGTCAATTTATTTCAGCTCGAAAAAGTTGCGAAATATAGACTCGATACGATTTCTTAGGTCCTCGATACTTAATCTCGATACGATTTCTTCGGTTTTTGATTACGATTTTTTTTGGGTAGGTGGTTCACCAACCCAGTCATTGCACCTTAGGCTGGCACAAACAAACGGTTTGTTGCCATCAATCATTGAACTTTATAACCGTGGCTGAACAGTCGACCCAATGTTTGGATTCAACTCCGTAGCTTCGTAATTTTGTACCCAGTCCAGAAGACAAGGAAACTCATAGATCAAGTATTGAGAGAAATTTGTCTTCGTGAAGGACTTTCCGATGGAACTAACCCTCAGTTGCGCTACTTGGAGTGGAATACCGCGAGAACCTCCCACAGTAAGCCAGGCGATCAAGGGACTTTAACCGTCCACCAGTGAGGATATTTGACGTCAGGACTGTGGTTTGTGCAAGCCAAATGCGGATTCGTATCGACCAGCCATTGCTGGGATTCGAACCCCGTTCACCTCAATGGACTGCGAACGCTCTATATCCTCTGCTGACATCTATGACTCTGGTTATAAAGTATACAACTATTGTTAATATGGAGAAATTACAATGGTTTAACTTTATTTCTCATGCATACTACCGAAAATGTCACTTGCTTGCTCCATCCACTCAGCTCTTATTGTTGTTGTACTATAGCTGATTTATATTTTGCTAGCGGGTGTGACTAATAGTGATATTTGCAGAAAAATAAATAATTCTATACATACTTTTGGACAGTCCCTTGGAATGATGGGACACGATTTCTTCGTGTAGACAGTCTTCACAGATCCGAATTCTTTTACGCATTCAGCCACTCTGCATTTATGTTCCTCGCTGGTCCAAGTATCGCCTATGTCATGCAATTGATCATCGTCCTCGCATTTGGTCACGTGACATATTCCACAGCACTGACCAAGAAACTTTGATGGTGGAATCAATTCAGAATTCTGGAATTGGATGAATATGAGCTTATCAGAACTGTGGAAAAAAAGACTACGATTGCGTTCGAAGTATTATGAGAATCGACAAATAAAAATGTGTCATTTAACAACGATAATGATGAGGATTGAAGTGTCAATATAATTATAATGGTCATGTTATAGCTATGATTAAATTAAAATTATAACGATTAAGTCATAATTCTGATTCAAATTATAGTGATCATGTTATAGGTATTAAATTACGTCAGACGTGTGATAAAAATAATAGAAGATAGTAGAAAAGCGTTTAAAATTGTAACGAGCATAATATAGCTATGATTAAAGTCATGATGATGATGGTGGAAGTAAGATTAAAATTACTGGTAAATTGGCATAGCTGAGACTAAAATTATAATGAACATTTTATATTTGTGATTTTAAACTTTTATGATGATTTTGGAAGTGTGATTAAAATTATAATTGTTACTGTATAGCTATTTTTGAAAGTATTATGAGCATGTCATAGTTGTGATTATAATCTTAGTGAACAAGTTATAACTCAGTTTATTAAACCTAAGTGTCGTTAAAAAATGATAATCGGCATGTTATGACTGCCGATTAAATTAATATTATGCAGCGACTGAATCAATAATAAGCATGTTATAGAGGCGATTAAAATTAAAATGAAGATGTTATTGCGGTAATGATGATCGCATTTGATCTTCCTTGGTATAATAATCACTATCAATTAGTTCATACGTGAAATATTCACATAATTATTCAAGACTAAACTGGAGCTTTACCTTTGGACATTCTGCGCAAGCCATCTTGTTTTTTGTTATTTGCACGTCACCCAAATCTGTGTGTTCGCAAGTATAGGTGATGCAGGGGTCCTCCTCATCATTCCATACCTCCCCTGCCTAGAAGAACAAGCTTATATTATTCACATTTAAAAAATAAGGGTTTGCCCTCTGATTTCTAAAAGTACAAAAAATGAATGGTCGATTTAAAAAATAACGTAATAAAAAAAACGAAAAAAAATTGTGATCGCATTTTACCCATTAGCAAAATGGTTGCTATCTAATTTTTTAACCCATTTATTCATTATATATTCCTCTTTATTTGTGATATTCACCTGAATTAGTATTGAAAACGATCCAGTTTGAACTGTAGGTTAGAATTTCTGATTCTTAATTAAAACAATAACAAAAATATCGTTGAAATGATTAAATTCACTTTTATTCACAACTTCAAGAAGTATTTCTTTTATTCACAACTGAAGAAGTATTATGGTCCCATATCTCAAAAATAAACTCATCAGCTTAATGCATAACAAAACTAAATGCGAGAAAAAAGAATTCTAAAAAATCATCTAACAGCAGCTGTCGCCATAGGAACATAGGCAATAACAACGCATGCGCACTGTTTACTATTACTCTTGAACACGGTTGAAAAGTGTGATGATGTCCAAATTAGGTGCGCAAGCCATCAAATCCAAAACAATACCCGTTTTGCCAATGGGTAAGAAAAAAAAAATTCTGGAGCAGTCGCAGTCGTTTGCAAAAGTCTCCCATAATTCCACAGTCAGAATCAAAATTCATAGAAAATTCTAAAACAGTCGAGTGTAATTCCGGCAATCATATAACAAACAGCAAGAAAACTAACAGGAAAAATTGATAACAACAGTAATTAGAAAGAGTAAAATTTACTTACCCTGAATGCATTGCCATCTTTGTCTATACACATGACTCGAATGAATTCTTTACAACATTTTCCCGGAATTATTTTCCCTTCGATAACATAGTTCTAAAAATAATAAAAAACATCGATTTTTTTCAGAACATACGTCACAGATAAAGTGCTTGTGTTAATATAACGTTGAGTTTATGTTAAAATAATAGTATACAAAAGCTTATATCATGTTAAAATAATATTATACAGAATGATTTAGTACAGCGATTAAAAACTTGGAGGGGAAAAGAGGCTTATTATTAAGATGTGCATAACGATCCATATCTGGAAATGTCATCGCACACTTTAATCTTTCCTCCCCAATATGAACTGCTATTCATGCACATTTGAAATGGTATTTTTATATATATCTTAATGATATGTAAATGTTACAATTTCTAGCAATTATGATCAAACATTGCAGTCCAATAGGCCAAGTAATTACTGTTTTTATCGTTATTTAATGGTTGGTTGGTTGGTGTCGTATCCTCTATTGAATCATATTTCATGGTGTGCTTGAATAACTTTTGTTATTTCTATGGCATTAAATGAATACAAATCCTCTTCTGTGGGGTAGTTTAAGAGGTGAAGGCCTGCACCGACTGCAGGGCAGTTGAAAACATGATATGGTGTCAGTTCCACATTAAGACAGTTGCCACAGTTTTGATATTTTCTAGTCCCATCTGTAGAAATTTTCATGTTTTTATGATGTTTTGTTCTTAGTCTGATGAGAGTAGTGGCTGTCTTCCTATCGATGTCAAGATTAGTTATTTGATCGTGGGCTTTGATTTTTAAAGGGGTGAATAGTCTTGACTTTGCAAAAGCATTTGCATCTGCCAACGTGGTTGGGATTGAATTTTGATTTAGATCTCTGGCATTTTTAGCCAAGGAATCAGCTATTTCATTGAACTCTATGTTCACATGGGCGGGAATCCACTGCAAGAAGCAATTTTTCCGGAGACGCTGAAGTTGTCCAAGTTGTTCTATGATATTCAGGATTAGGCTTGAGGTTCCTTTGCTGAGGGCCTGTATCGTTATTTAATGGTGTGGCGATTTAATGTTTTAACATTAAGGTATGAGGACACACCGTCAGTTCATACTGGGAGAGTGATGCCTCTCGATTATGAACTGGCTGTGTGTCATAGTACTCTTTTAGCCGTGTACGATGACATGCGCTTGACGTATGAGCCCTAACTGCGTACGAGTTGTTTATGATGTGCCTTACCATCCTTTTAAGGTTGTATTGAACCACTCTATGTGTCTATAAGGCGAATTTATTCCAGGCTTTAAATTTTGCATTTTTACAAGAAGTTTTTTTTAATATAGAATAATTACTTTAGGGCTTTGAGGATATTTAGAATTCCATTTCCCCAAATATTAATTTAAACCAAAATATACATACTTCAGAATCGGGTAAGGAGGATGGATCTGGACAGGTCTCCTTGATGCAATTGGAAAAGTGTTGTCCCTTGGTCCCTTCGCACTTGCACTTCTCACACAAACCGTCTTGCCATTCCTCACCAGACTGCAAAACAATGAAAGATTGTTATTCTAATGATAGAGATGTCTGGAAGCCTGAGAAACGTCTTTGTTAATGATAAATAGAAAAACGTATTATGTCCCACTTAAGATAAGGCACAACAAGTTATAAGACTTTGATAACTCGCTGAAGGCATTTACAAATTAATAAGATACCCCCATATATTGCTAAATCTTAGATTTTATGACTGTTACTTGATCCAGTATCTTCTTCGGCTCCATCGAAAAACTTATATTTTAAATAAGGAAACCATAAGTATAATGAATCTGTTTTTTTTTGTTTTTTTTCTGTGAGTGTGTGCATTCAGGAAAGATCTTTTTATGAGTGGGGAATTTCAGGAGCATGTAACTGCATGTCAGGAGCATGTAACTAATCACCATACAACGTCTAGAAAGATGTCTAAAGGAGGCATAAAATTATTGATGCATAAAATGGATTCGACCAAATATATTGAATATTTATGCACCATAATCTTGTTCTTTTTTTCTTTTCCATTATTTTTTTTAATAAAAAGAACGAAATTACTTTCCAGGCAATTTTATTTTTATTGTTTAATTGACTAACATATATTAACACATGAGCCGCAGTGTTTTGCGAACAACGGGAGCGATGTTTGTCAATCCAAATTTTTGTACAGTTACGCTCGTAAATTTAAAAATAATTGAAAAAATGTTAAATTTTAGATGCATAATTAATGCACTTCATGAATGGAATAGCTTTAAAACTTAAGTTTATCAAGTTTTTTTTGACTAGAATATGAGCCAGTGTTTCATGTGTATGTAAGGAGTCCCTTCCGACAGAAAAGTATTTTATTATCTTCAGGTTAACCATCATTTTCTTACACCATAACTAAAAAATATTTATGAATTATTTTTATTTCAATTTATTCGCTGAGATATGTTCTATTGAGACTAGTTAATCAAATTTTAAATTTTAAAATTGCGAGTTTTTTAAATTTTTTTTTAAAAACTTATAAACTTTAAAAATCAAATGTCGGTACCTAGGTTCATAAGCACATACTTCAATTAAAAAAAATTAATTAGTTGCTGTAATTAGTTCGTAGTAAAGCGCAGTGTTGCGTAGTTAGTGAACAAAAATATTAATAAATAAGACCATTCTGGAAATATAATTTTTCATACATTAAAGTAAAGTTCCCTTTTCTGTCTTAAAGAGAACTTTGAAAACCTTAATTTAATTAAAATTAAATGTTTTAGGTAAATCAATGGTGGAAGCAATGTTTTTTTTTGTAAATGGTATTGTCTATACTAGGGCGTCAAGTATAACTTATTTCCAAGCTCTTCAAAAAAAGCTTTACAAATATTTCGATTATAATGTAACCTCTTTAAAAATAAAGGTTTCATCGTCTTACTTTATAAAGCACTGGATCAGACTCTTCCGATTCAATATATTTTTCCACGCCTTCAGCTATTTCAAAGTGATGAAGGTAAATGCATACATCTTCCAGAGGTTCTGAAGAAGAAAATTAAAAAAAAAAAAAAATTCAATTAAAGAAAAGAATAAGCAGGTTAGTACAATATAGTAGTGTCAATAGTATCTCGAATTACTTTTTTCTGTCAAATATTAAATGATAGCTTATACAAGGAAATTTTTTCTGTTACTTAATATTGCCTGATTCGGGAGAGAGGATTTAAAAACTGAATTTAGTTTTTCTTCTAAAGCTACAGATTTGTTTTTAAAAATATCATAATTTTGTCCCATTTTTGTCGAAACGTACAAGTTATACATAAAAGAGGGTCACATAAATGTTGCGACAAACTTCTAGGGGTGTTAGGGCACATCATCAGGATTAAAATTGCGTAGAAAGCCATGCCTGTAAGTGTCGTCATATGCCGCTAGGGGCATTTTTCTAGAATGAACTTTTTCTTCGTGTGCTTCTGAATATATCATAATAGGGAAGCTCCTCAAGCGGTGTAAGATGACGTTTCTGAGCAAAGGTTTCTATGAAATTTTAAACTTGATTATGTGCTCTAACTCCTCTAGAACTTTGTCGCAACCACTCTCTAAATATAACGTTTCTAAACGTTATATTTAAACGTTATAAAGCAAGTGGGTACAGTAGCTTAATAGAAAAGTGAATAATTCTTTTTTGTTAGATTTGTGGGAGGCTAATATTACCATGTGTATCTTAATGTGAATTAAATTTAAGTGCATTTATCATAACCCCCATTAAATTAAGTGAGGAGGAACAAAAAGATTATACACACGAACGTGTTGCTAATGTAACGTACGTATACATTTGTAGTAGTTATTCATCAACAGTTCATCTTAGAGGAAGTCAACTATAAATATAGTGGGCTTTCAAGGAGAGAGATAAGACTCCAGTCATTTCACAAAATGAATGGTAAGGAACTACAAAACTATATATCTATTACTATTGTTACTATGAATTTAATTTTTTGAACAGTTAAACATTTGGTTTAAGCGAACTATTTTACGAGATCTGATTTTCGAACTAACTTAATAATGAAGTTTTAGAAGATTTAAATTTAAATATGATTGTAATTTAAAAAATAAATAAATATATAATTTGCTGGAAATAGTAATTTTTTAAAATTTTATAATAATTTACATTACATGAAATAAAAGTACAATATGAGCTAAATTTTTCGTTTTAATCTTTTTTTTCTTCTTTTTTTTTAAATGGAATTTTTTTTCACGGTGAATATCCTTCTGCTTTCAGGAGTGAGCGAGGAGTTGACCATTGGCATCTAAACGCCTTTGCACGTCATTGTCCTAACGTTATATAAAAAAGGAAGCTTGGCTATAGAAATCATGATCAGGGAGGTTTAGGCTTTGTTTGTAGTCTTTGCAAATAGTATAGGCATCTCAAGGAATCGAGATTTCCTCACTCTCCACACTTTTCCTCTCTCTGTTACCCCGGTGTTCAAAGATCTTGTTTTTTCCTCACGCTAATATCTTACCCTTTCTTATTGATACATTCTGCCGTGGAGTAAATCAAGATTTTCCGTAATCATGGTAACGGAAAAGGGAAAAGAGTGGAGAGGAGGAAAATCACACGACTTTGAGATGCCTATATGTTTAGAAAGAGCGTAAGTTTTGTTTCTGTTTCATTTAGCTAGCAATAAACATGAAAATATTAGCTGACTTGGTCACGTTTGAATTTTTATTCGTACCAAACGGCGTATACTGTGGAGCATTTTTCTTTGGCTATGCTTTCGAGATGGGTGATGCATACTATTACCATACTTATTCTATATCCTGCCAGAGTTTCAAACAAATTATCTATATTTTATTATTTTTTTTAAATAATTAAAACAATTTCTTTAAACAAAAAAGTATGTTAATGTGATGACTCAACTTTATTTGTATTCAGGATGGTAAACCATTACTTTATGGTTCATTTGTATGAAAGTAGCACAGTCAATTGTAATTTCAATGCAGATTTCTGAAATTAATCGATGAGGTCCGATAATCTTGAGTTCCAACTTCTTAACTTTTTGAAACTCATAAAATCATTCTTGTTTTATTTATTAGCGACGTTTTCCAAACCCAAATGGGAATCCTCAGCTTTTGTGTTATTCTGGGTAGCTACCAAAAGTCTTCAGAGTAACAGGTAAAGCAGTGAAACGGCATTCTATTTATAATTAACACTGTGAACAGCTGTGAACAAATGGTGCGAAAGTTTTCACGAAGTAAGCATACCAACAAAGACTTAGTGTAAGAAAATATCATGTTCTTTACGGTGAACATTGCTTAAAGCAAACAGTTGTGAACAAATGGTGCAAAACTTTTCCTCAAGTACGTATATTAACATAGACTTAAGTCAAGCAAATGTCGTGATTTATAAGGTGACTGTCTCGAACAAACAGCTGTGATCAAATCATGCAAAAGTTTTAGTTAAGGACGCATATCAACATAGGATCTGTGAAGAATTAGGAAAAGTAAACCCCGTAACTTTCTTTAATTCCCTTTTTACTGTTGATCGAATGATTTGAGATAATCGAATATTTATCATCTTGTCTAACAAGAGTAAAGTAATGGCGCAATCTTATTCTGCTTGCAAGAAATCCAGGGGTCTGTACAGACATTTTGTGAAAGGTCCGTTCTTCGTGAAATTGTGAAAAAATTACTCACATTCTTTCAGCTAGGGTTCACTTTTATGAATTTGTGCAAATAGGGTCCGGTTATTGCAAAAAACTTTTTCAAGGAGTTTTTAAATTGTAAATAGATACAAGATTATGCTCGGCAAATAACAGCAAATGCTGCTTCTAATTAGAGATGCAGCAGACAAATATTTGGTATTTAGCCTATACTGCTGAACGCAGAATATTAATTTCGGACGAATAATGGAAGAATCGTCTGCCGAAGACAAAACTTAATTCGTTTGCATCCATCTTTCTTGTTTTCTGCCCTGGGAAGGGTATATTTGATTAACAAAACAATAATGAAGATAAACACATTTGTGAAGGGTCCGATTAAAAGAAAAATCATTTTGTGAAGGGTCCGTTTTTAAGTTAAAATATTTTGTGAAGGGTACGTTCTTATGAAAAGATATTTCGGACCAAAATTTCTTCTAAACAGACCCCTGAAATCGTACTATTTTGCATTGTTCTGTTCTACAACTTTACATTCACTTTAATTGCTCTCTTGTGAATTGGTTAAGAAGTTAGATGTAGTCAGTGGCACACTCTTTTTACGTTTCGTTTCAGTGGCGTTGCTACAGTTATTCTGTTGCTATCACGTGTGTCCACTTTTCATTTGGGCAAACCTTACACAATAGATAATTAACGCTTAATTTAAACATCTTTTCCCAAAACCCATTTAAATATACTAATTTTTGTTAAACCATTGATAAATTTATCGAGCATTTATCGCATGGTTCTAAAACAGAAGAAATTCTTACTGCATTTGAAGGTGCTGCAACACTCTCCCTTCAGTTCAGTAAGCTCTGTTCCTGGCTGACAAGCTGGCCTCTTCGGACAAGAACTGGAATTGCAGGCAACCTGTATTTTTGGACAGCAAAGACCATCTATCTTCTTAACGTATTGACCGACTTCTAAATCTGATGGCCATATGACGTCTCCACACAGAGCTGGCTCACATTCTAGAATATAGAATAAATTGTTGCTCACAAAATAAGATTTTGTTAGGTTCTGTTATTCATAGCGACATTATTCACACTTCTTTTGTTTCATGTGGGTAAGTGTAGTTTGTGTACAGAGATCAAAACACATACCTTAAGTGGTACACCTGAATAACTTTTAACCTAATGATCGATTTTTCACGTACAAAAGATTAAGTTAAAATGGTTAGAGTGTATGACCTTCAATATGCTGATTAATGAACCAGATACAAAACACGGTTAAGAAACTATATACAAAAATGTCTTAAATCTTTTTTGACTCTTAGGGGGTTAGCTGCAAAGTAAAAAAATATTATCTCGATAATAGTTGAGTTTGATCATTATGATCATTAATAAAAAGTTTGATATTTTTTTATATTGATTTTGCATTTTGCGGTTATCGCCAACTCTTCAACTAATAAAAGGAAAATGAAAAAAATCATGATTACAGTCTTTATTTTTGTACAAGTAATTTTTATAATTTGTTATTTAATTTAACTATGATTGAAACATTTTTGGATTGAAAATTAAACGAATTTTTACACCATTTTTAGCTATGGTATTAGAAATGACAGAATCTATAATTTAAATGAAATGTGTCCAATAGATTCTGAACAGTCCATGAAAGTCGTTTTTTTTAGTCTTAAATTGGCGAGAACTATTTGACCAACTTCGTGAAAACTTCAGATTTTTTCATTTTAAATAATGCATAGTTTAAAATGGTGAAAATTCTAACAATTTTTTTTTGTGATTATTATTAAATCAACTTAAAGGCAAAATTATTAAGACCTACTTTTAGAAATTAAGTTTTATAATTGTGCAAACATTTTTTATTCACTTAAAGAATTTCAAAGAACTGCGCAAAAAATAAAATCAACATCAATGGGGTGAAATTTCGATTACTATCTTAACTAAACTGTTGGGACAATATTGATCAAGTGTAAAGGATCTAAATCTGTCGAAAAAAAAAGGTATATTTATTCAAAAGATGTAAGTTTTTACACCTGTATGGGTCTTGGAAACTGCGAGTTGGCGCCTGCTTTTCTGATTTGCCACCAACAGGGACATTAGAACTTAAATTTCTCTTCCCTATTACCGATAAGTACCAAATATATCAACTAATAAAATGTATAGTTAATCGAAATTCGGATAATTTTTTTTCTTACAATAGCGGATAAATTTCAATTGGAGCACAGTTCAATTTCAAAATTTCGGCCTCTTTTAACAAATTATTAGGCAAACATTAGTTTATGAGTCCGACAGTTTATTAGTAAAACTTTTCAAAAACTATGTTTTATCATGTAGTCTTAAGAAAGAGGAAATTATTTTATTTTTCGTCAGGCTTAATAAGAAATGCATTTTACCACTAACAGTTTCAAAAATCGTTCATTCCATGGACTTCGTTTAAAGTCTAAGAAAATAATTTCCGACATTTTAATCTGCTTGAAAAACCTAGCTTTAAAATTTTTCATTATATTTTAAGAATAAATAAAAAAATAACATGATTGAACTTAGAAGGAAACAGTGTCAAAGATTCCTGCATACCACATTCGAATTCTGGACATTTTGTTTGGCGTGTGTGCATTTTCGCTACTTCACCATTTGGACAATCTGGAATTTTAGGAGAAGGACAATCTTCCTTTTTAGGAGCTGTAATAGGAAATGTATGTAAGTATATAATATTTATAAATTTATGTGACAAGCAATTTGCTCGAAAATGTTAAGCGTGTTTAATTCCTTAAGCAATTTCTTCTATAAAAGCTAGCAAGCTTGCGTAGTTTCTCAGCATTCTAGATGAGTTTGAAAGTAGGTTGGAATTTGGAACCGTTATATGAGAACCCTAGCGATAAGTCCTTAAGATAATCTAAAAATATGATTAAATATTAATATCTTCTTGCTGGTACTAATTATTCCATACCAAGAATATGTTGTGCGCTATACAGAGTAAAATTATCAGTAGGGAGTCGGCATTAATTTCAATCGTTATGCCGACTTATCGTTATGCTTATCGTATCATTATGCTTATCGTTATGCTTAAAATTATACGTCATTAATTTATACCCATTACCCAATTTTTTAAATTTCTTTATACTGATCTAGTTTTAGCTTTGGTCTGTTGTAGTTTATTTACGTCTCAATAGGTTATTGGCGACGGCTTGGGAAACATCCTTGAGGATGATCCGAAGATATGCTTGCATACCTGCCAACTTTTAATCCTTTCGATGATCATTTTCCCCAGTGGTAGTAAGATGGAATTTAAATTACAATTTTAGGTAGAAACATACACTGTATTTTGATAAAGTTTGCGAAGCACTCTACCGCAGTACTACACATTCATATATGTGCTTAATATTTTTAAAAGTAGTGGTAGTGAAAAAGATTATAAATTAAGTTTATAAATGCAAGAAATATATAAAAAGCATACATTTTACTACCATTTTAACGATGGAAATTAAATTTTACGCCAAATGCGTAAAAGTTGGCAGGTATGTAAGCTTGACAATCTCGATCTTCTGCAGAGGAGATGGCACCCCGTTTCGGTAGCCCGACGACCTGCCCGCTAAGTCGAGCACTTTGCTATAGAACAGTTTAGCGAGGACCAACACCGCACACCCTTGATCCCATCGCAGAATGATCCAAGTAAGTTTGATCTAATTATAATATATTAATATAATGATATTATAAATGTTCTATATTTATATTATCTTTCATCTAATTTAACCAATTAATACACGAACGTCAAAACCGATTTCAGTCGCGTAAGAACAATAAAGCTGTATAGTGTCACGTGATAATTAAGATTTTACACAGAATCTTATAGTGTGTCTAATAATTTATCTAGGGACTGTGCGTCGGCTTCATTACTTTTTGCATTTCACAGTAAAATGAAGTACTTTTTTTAAAAACATTAATAAATAAATGTAATTCGTGATGTAGCAATAAAATGTTTTATAAATAGTTACCACACAAATAGCGCTTGCAGCAAGATGATTCTTCGAATTCAATTTCAATTTCGACTAAAGCCTCGTTCTCAGAGCATATTGGATTTTCAGGACAAACTTCCTCAGAACAAGAAATCTTGAGTTCCACATTACATTCGCAAGTCTTACAGTTTCCATCTTTCCACCTGTCACCTGGCTGAAAATTAAAGAAAAGTTTTCTTAATATTTTTTAAAAATGCATTTAGTGAAAAAAGCATGTCAAGCTATTAAGCTTTGTAAGTTTACCTTATAATGAAGAATCAAATTTATTTCGTGTAATAAAGGAGCAGAAAACTTTTGTGACCTGTTCCTGTTCTAACTTGTATGTTGACCTTGGACATGATTTAAATTTTATTCTATAGTGTTATTGAATACTATTCTAAACCCATCATAGAATTGGCAGAAAAATATTGTTTTTTCACGAATATTTTTATGCGATTAGGCATTGGAATTCAACTGAATCGAAGAAAAAATTCTAAAAACTATCATAAACCCATTATGATTAGACCCCCTTGGGAGAAAATATTAGAAGTTTTGCAACTTTTAAGTTTTAAAATATTAAAAAGAACATACCGAGTTTTATAAATGTCCTGGTTTTTGCGCTCTGGTATTATAAGAAACTATTCATATGAAATAACAGATTGGTAGGCATGTTTTTTTAAACAAATCAATTTAATAACAAATTTATATGACAAATTGTATATGAATTCTGAATTTAGAATTATTTTTTTAGTTATTTCCATAAAGTCATGTTAAAAACTTAATTATTAATTATCTGTAATTAAATTAATAATATGAATAAAATGATAAATGTTATATAATATAAAACAAAGAATGACTCATCCTATCCATAAGTTCACCACTTTTCAATTTTTACTGCATACTGATATTTGGGGTTCTACATCGGGGGACAGCTCGAAGCCAACCCAGTTTCATATCGGTGGATACCAGCTTATTTTGGTAGTAAAGGAGGCTAATGCACAATGCTGACCACATTTCCATCGGTATATTGTTGAGTACAAAATTGGGGATGCTTAATAAAACGATAATCTCAGTCTTGTAAAATGGTCCGTTGTACTTCAAAATTATTTTGTTTACTAAAAAGTCTGTTTAATGTGGGCGTATCTTCGAAATGTATAAATATATATTAAAAGTGAATGATTTGTCGAATTTAAGCAAGCAATATTAATTATTTAAAAAAATAATTAAGTTATGTTGTTTATGATTAGCGCACGTTCCCAAATTTTTATTTTAACATGTAAGCAATTACGACAATACTTGAAAATTCGAAAAATACCCACCCGGAAAAAAAAAACAATTTGTAGAGCAGTGATTCCAAAAGATGTTTTGCGGAAATCTAGCGCTCCGCTGAAGGAAGCAGGGTTTTTTTTAACCAGTAATTATTATAATTACATTCAATCAATAATCCATAATTTGATTTTTACATAAAATTAATTTTTGAAAAATGCTACTGAAAAAAAGCATAAGTAAAAAAAAAGTTCAATAACAATCTATTGATTAAATTATGAAAACTACGTGCATTTATAAGAAATCTATAATTATTTCTCATCTAGCTTTTCAATTGGGTATACTATAGCCTACGTCACAGGTTGTGTTATTCCTACTAAATTTAACCCATGAACGGCATTTTCTGTAAGCCTAACTTCAAGCCACAAATAAACAAACGAAGTGTTTGATCGTTTAAATAGCTGCTCGCCAGATTTTATTGCATTATAAAGAAAAGTAATTGATATTCGATTTTTGATTAATAATTGATTTATGTGGATAGTGGCATTTATGTGGATAGTGGCATAGAATTTAGCATTGCGTCATGGTAAATGTTATTCCTACTAAGTGGAAGTAGTTGTGTTTTTTTTATATTATACCCAATTTGAAATAACTAACCGTTCTGATATATAGTACAACATTTCTTCTATGAAACGTATTATTTTATTAATTTCCATAGACCAGGAACAAATTTATAAAATATCTCATTCTTCACAGATAATATTTTCAAAATAATTGGTTTTCTTCTTTTTTTATTCATTTTTATTTATTTATTTATCGTGGCGTACTTTTGCCAAAAGAACGTCAATTACTTAGAGTTTCCTAGACGAAAAAAATTTGGAACCGCTTTCTATAGAGTACTACCACTAAGAGCATTTCTCTTTCTCATTGTTCACTACATTTTTTTCACGAGCATTCAATAACCTCCTAAACAATAAAATATTGAAGTCTAATTTTTAACTTACCACATGTCCTTCGTCGTCGCAGGTTTCTGTAAAATAAAATGAAGTAGTTCAGTGACTTAAAAATATGTTTTATACTTAAATTGAAATACTTTAAAATAAAATTACCACAAGAGATGGGATCAACACATATTTCGCCATCGAGAATTTTTCCAGCTGGACAGAAACAGCCATCTGTCTTAAGTTGGTGGCACAAGGAATCTTCTGAAGAATTTTTCAAACTGGCACAGGTTTGAGGACATCCTTTGTGGCACTGTTCGTACTGTAGATTTTCCGGACATTTCATATCTGACAAAAAAAAAATCACATTGCTTATAAACCTTTGTCTATAAGTCATTGCAGTAATCTTAAGAATAAAATCAAGGCAGAGAAGATAGAGCGGTTAGTAAAACCATGGAGTTGCCAACTTTCTTCACTTTTGCAGAAAATTTCCTCTAGTGGTAGCTAAGTTAATATTTTAATGCATGTTTTTTGTTTTACAAATTTGATTAAATGTTATTTTCTACATCATTACATGTGAAGGGTTTAAAGTTTCATATGAAATGCTACTTTGCTCCTGCTCTCTCGTGATGAGGCTTTTGAGATGTTGTCAAAATTTCCAAAAATTCCGAAAGCTTTAAATTTTGTCTGCTACTTTATAAAAGATTTTCCAAAAAGCGTAGTAGTTGGCAGCTCTGAAAACATTTATAACAAACTTATTTTCGGAAAAATATAAAGAATCTTATCTATCAAGACTATGTCTAAGTTATAGTGCATAATAATAGCGCCAGCTTACAGTTCTTCTGCCGCCAAGGCAGCCCAATGTGCCCAATTGAAAGATCAGGAGCACATAGCTTTTTACTTGATTCCTTTGTATTCTACAAGTAAATAGTTGGGTCTAGAATCTTAATTTGAAGAAAAGTACGATACAGGTACATCAAAATTCTACATATAACAGAGGATATAAAAATAATTATGTATCGAATTAATATGAGAAATACGTAATAAAGCTTAAAATTTATTATATGATAGTCCGATATACAACACGAAGAGTACCTAGACTGTTTCCTGCTATGGAAAATTAATATTAATATGTCTTGGCAATCGCAGGCATTAATCTCTTACGAAAACGAGCTAACAATGAAATGGTTTTAATACTAGTATTTTTAATCTTTCCCGGGGTACAAAGAGCTTTAAAAATTGTTAATGGATATTTTATTCTGTTAGCTACCACCCTTGTTTTAAACAACCGTAGCTTCATAATTTCAGCTTCAAACATGAGATTTTGAACTGTAGGCATGAAAATATCATTTTATGTTTTCTTTTTTTTGCCAAGGTCATAACCATTTTAGGGTTTGAATTATTTACTAATGATTTAGCATTATTTAATTTTTTTAAAAAGATTACGTAATGAGGAGAAACGATAGTTAACTTAATGCTAACAAAAAGAACAATAAAAAGTTGTCTAAAATTTCTCAGGTTTGGTGAATAAATATTTCTTAAATTCCTAAATATGCTGGATAATAAACTAATAAAATTAAAATGATTTTATCTCTTAAACTGTGATGTTTTTAATTAAATATTTCATATTTAAAAGAGTATGAATCTCAAGGATATGGTTTCAATTGACGTAAATTGTTAATGTTGTACCTGGTTTGGACCTAGGTTTGATCTAATTGTTCTTGACCTATCCTGGTACTGTTTTGGACTTTTTAGAAATATAAATGTTAATAAGAACATTTAGGTTTTAATTTCTATTAAAATGATGTAAAGTATTTAAGATTACTACTATATGTTAGCAGCTAATACATAGATTTGCGCATTAAAAATGGCACAAGTAAATAAATATGTCCTAATTAATAAGGAAAGAAAACCTTGATTAATAAAATGCTTATAGTAAAAAATAACCATATAATATGAAATGTTTATAGAAAAGAAAAGTGGACATGAAATGTACATAGGGGAGAGTTGGACAAAACGGGATACGTCGCCTTGGGACCAGACTATTGCAGCTATCTAGTGGACAACGACAGAAACGTGCTATTCGACCGTGATTATATCATTCTCGGTGCGTCCCGCCTCGAGATCACTATTTGATAGAAAGTTATAAGTCTCAGAACTTTTTTACTCTATTTTTTAGCCATTTTCTACTTTTGCGTGCGTTGTTTTTTACATTGTACTGCCTACATATATGGGAATAAAATTCCGGTGAGTATTAAATTTAATTAATCATTTATTTACCAATATTTTGATGTGCTGTCTATCTAATTTTCTTTTCATATTTAGGCAGCAGCCATGCTTGTTTTAAAAAGTGTCGGAGTCGGACAAAACGGGACACTTGTGAGTTGAATAAAACGGGATAGAGTTTTTTATGTCCCGTTTTATCCACCTATTTATTTGTTGGATTATTACCTTTTAAAATAGCCATATATTAATGTAGGCCTAGGCTTTTTAAACAACTTATTTATATTAGCTATATATATTTTTGAAAAATTTAGTCTCTTTATATAGTAATGCAAAATTTGTTTATTAACGTTCATTATTAAGCATTTTATTTTCGACTCTAGGATTTCACATCTTTCTTTAGAACTAATTGTAATGTATTTCTCTGATGAAGACTTGAGCTTTTTTATATATAAACTTCTTAATTTTCTGGATTGCTCAATTCAATCTACATTCAATTCTAAAATGAATTCTTCTCTTTGTAACTGAAGAATTTAAATGCTTGATTATTAAAGAGTCTTTCAGGGATGTTACGACATCAATGGAGTGAATTAGAAATAAAAGTGAATTAGAAATGGAAGAAAAGGAAAGGATTATTAAACTACAAAAAAAGAACCAAGAGAATTGAAGAAAAGGCTGCTAAGAAATCTCTATTAAGAGCACAAGGCACATCTCGACAACGAAAAATGTGAAAATAAGCCTTCATGTTTGAAAACTCATAGTCTTTAAAAACAAATGTAGCATCATATTTTTTTGTGTACTTACTTATAAAACAACAATCTATATAAAAGTGTTAGAACAGTAAAATCCCATGAATATAATTTATAGAAATTTTGCTTTGCAGTTCTCTGTCAGTTAATTATGCTTTTCACTTAGTTTTATGCAAAAAATTAAACATTGTAAACCCTATCCCGTTTTATCCAACCCAGGTATGCTAAAACGGGATATGTAAGAGTTTGGAAATTAATTTTTTTTTCTATTTCACAGTCAGTAAAATTAGTTTAAAATATGTTTTTTGTGTGCTTCGATAAATGTTGTAGCTACAAAAAAAATATTGTATGGTTTTCCTGAACAGATATTCCGTAGTAAATATAAACAATAATGGTATCCCGTTTTATCCGACTCTCCCCTACTACCAGTTTCTTTTATCTGCAGCAGCCCAACTTGACTAAACGATTAAACTTAGAGTCAATTCTTCTTTGGCACAGAACCTGAACTGTCACTGAAGACCTGATCTGAACTGAACTTGACTGTGAAACGTTTTCATACAGGTTTTCCTGTTACCTAAATCTAATCTCATAGTCTCTGTTAATTTTATAGCTTCCAGAGGAAGCTAATTACTTTTGGAAATAAACAAATGCGCACGTTAAGATAAAATATTGAATTTCGACATTAGGAAATATGTTCCACTACTTTTGTCAACGAAATAACAGAGAAAATTGTTTTGGTATTTAGTATTTATTTTGGTATATTGGTTATTTTAAGTTAATTAGGATTTTGATGTAGCTGAGAGCTGTGTTTTTATTGTAGTTTTCTGATGTCTTACAAACGTTCTGTCATTTGCTTGTCTTAAAGAAATAATAAGTATATCTCATTTGACAAACTAGGTTAGGCAAGGTAGAAACGGAACTATTGGTTGAGTCTAGCACACTGCCTTAACCATTGTTTAGATCAGGGATGGGCAAACTACGGCCCGCGGGCCAACTGTGGCCCGCCGGAAGATTTTATCCGGCCAGCGGATAGAAATTTTATTTGCCGATCAGTGGCAAATATAAACAATATACATCCATTTTCTTATCGACTACGTTTAAAATTATTTCTGTTTTTCNTTGTCGACTATGTTTAAAATTATTTNGAGTCTAGCAGACTGCCTTAACCATTGTTTAGATAGAGGGAGCTGCTCACTTTCGATATGCTGTTGTTGTTTTTGTGACAATTCATTTTGTGACTATCGAGGACAATATGACATGTAACAGAGAAAGGCAATGACTCCGCAAATACCAACGGAGCAACAAAACTAAGAGTTGGAAAAGGTAGTGTCGGAATAAACCATACCACAACCGAGTGCATCGGGCCAACTGTTTATGGCTATGCCCATTTGACAGCACTCGCGAGTGTATTCCATTGCAGTTTTGCAGAGAGCTTCCAAGGCTTTCCCGCTGTGAATGGCGTCAAAGCTGCAAGCATCCAAGTAGACCTCGAGATCTAACAGAGGATGGCAAGCCTCGAAGACGGGATCTTCTAGTTTTTGGCACAAGGGATTGGTCTCGGTTATTTCTGGCTGAAATGAGAAACAAAGAAAGTTTTATTTTAACTATTATGCAGGATGTTCTATAATTACCGTCCTTAATAGATAGATGTTTAGAATTTTTATTAAAGATGCATATGTTTGCAAGTTGATATTTAACTTTGAGAAAAAACAAAAATGCTATCAAAAACTGTGGAATTACTTTTGAGTCAGGCAAGATTGAAAACATCAAAACCAATTTTAATGGCAGAGGAGGGGGAGGTGTTTTTAGATTATTAGAAACACTTCCAAATTTCATCGGATATTCAAACTGTTTTTGATGTTTTTTTCCTAGTGATTTGGTAAAATCTAATGGTGTTTATTTTTTGCTTCAATATTAATTTGTGAACCCTTTTTAGTTTAGCTGTCTGATTTTATCGTTTACTAGTAATCAAAACACACTTCCTATGGATGGTGAATATCTTATTTCCATTACTGAATCAAAGCACTATAATAAAGTATTTCGTAGCTGATTAAGATCAACCTTCATTATGTAATGTGTGCTAAAATGGATGCATTATCAGTCTAATCCCACCTTTCTCAGCTAAGCCTTTAAAGTGTATTTGTATTCTACTTAATACACGTTGAACGAAAAACATTTTTCATGTTTTTTAAAGGTTTGTGTATTGAAAATAAAACTATTTCTTTTCTAAGTTCATTTCGTAACGTTACACTGTAGGAAATCACGAAGTGTACACTTTAAAAATATTCTTTTTCTGAACATTAATGTCAACAAGATTCGTATAAAAACTGGGTAGTGTTCAAAAACTTTGCAATTTACGTCTTATTTCTATCCCATACCTTTAGTGAGATAGGAAAGCTAATTCCTCAGATTTTCGTCAGGCTATGGTGTTTAAGGGTTTTATAAAAAAGCACATAACCACTTTACTATATTTAGTCATCGCTAAAGTCATTTGAAAATTAAGAAGACAGCCTCAGAGGATAGAGCGTTCGCCTTCCAATGAGGTGAACCGGGGTTCGATCCTGGCGAAGGCTGGTCGAAACGAATTCCGCATCCGGCTTGCACCGACCACAGTGTTGACGTGAAATATTCTCAGTGGTAGACGGATCATGGGTTAGAGTCCCCTTGCGGTCAGGGTAACCGTGGGAGGTTCTCGTACTCTTCCTCTCCATGTAACGCAAATGCGGGTTAGTTCCATGAAAAAGTGCTCCACGAAGGCAAATTTCTCCTAATACTTGATCCAGGAGTTCCCTTGTCTTCTGGATTGGGTTCAAAATTACAAGGCTATGGAGTTGAACATTAGTAGTCGTAAACCCAAAATTAGATCGGCTGTTCACCGACGGCTATAAAATAAAAAATAAAATTAGGAAGGAGATTTCAAACTTTAGCTAGATTCCAATATGTCCTAATTATCGACATCCAATCGAAAGAACTTATGTTATTTAGCATGGTATTGGATTTAACACGTTACTTTTTTATTATTTCCTATGAGCTGCACAATCAGTCTTCCCGATGAGCAGACCTAGTGCGCTCTCCAGAAGTGGTATCCACACTTTCAGGACCACCACAATGGGTGAGATACAGTTGGCCATGTTAATTTGGACGTCTAGTTTCTACCACACTAAATGGCAGCACCGAGACTCTATTTGNTTCCATGAAAAAATCCTCCACGAAGGCAAATTTCTCCCCAATACTTGATCCAGGAGTTCCCTTGTGTTCTGGATTGGGTTCAAAATTACAAGGGGACGGAGTTGAACATTAGTAGTCGTAGACCCAAAAATTACGTCGGCTGTAAATAAAAAATAAAATTAGGAAGGGGATTTCAAACTTTAGCTAGATACCAGTATGTCCTAATATTATCGACATCCAACCAAAAGAACTTAAGTTATTTAGCATGGTATTGGATTTAACATGTTACTTAGTATCAGCTAAAAAGCTAATTGACGTTTACAAAACAAATTTAGTTTCAGGGGAAAATATAAGCTCATAAGCAAAAAAACCATTACCAGTTCGTCCAGAGATTTTTTGCAGTCGTCTATATCCCCTTCTGTTTGGAAATTGCATACATATTCACTGAGTGGTTTACCTCCTGTCTCATCATCTTTCTTTCCGTTGCAGTTGCCTAAAATATGAAAATATTCATGCAACACAATCTATGTTATCTATCTTGTTATCTACAAGGACAAAACTGGTACCTTAAAACTACGCAGTACCCGAATAAATGAAAAAAAGGAGTTAACTTACCACATAAACCTTCAGTTTTATTGAAATAGCGCCTGGAAGGTACTTTCACGGCAAAACCAGAGTTGTCTTCATAATATCGAGCTTCTAAGCTGATTTGAGGAACTGCTATGACAAATGTCCTTCCAGGGTATCCTAAGATGACCATGCCATTAGAATGCATAGGTAGATGGTCTATTGGAATGGTTGCCTCGTCAAATTGTATCTGAAAAGAATATTGAATCATAAAGTACTCCACATCTACTTATAAAATTATTTCAAAAATGATACAATAAGTAATGCAATTTAAATACTACTTTTGCATTTGCGGTTCCCTTATTTTTGTTAAAGCTGAAAGAGGAATGCTTATGCAAGGTGCTATATCCGTTACTTTTACGTTTAGTTACGTTTAGTTTCAAAAATTGCCTGCAAACTTTTTTGTGGAATTGCCTGCAAACTTTTATAGAAAAAACAGTAAAATGAAATGCATTACATCTTTGTGCTTCTTGATGGTAACAGTGTGCCCCTTGTAAACCAATTGCAGACCAGTCATACAAGTGGCTTTGGAAAACAGACTGCACCGCCTGGAAAATCCATTCAACGTGAACTGCTTTTCAGTGTCTCCAACTATCAAAAATGTGCCCTCAGCTAAGAAAGGATAGAACATGCCATCAAAAGTTCTCAGGTGTGGATCACCAAAACCTTGGCATGTTTCTGAAAAGAAAAAAAAAAATATTCAGATTCCAGTGACAGTTAAATGGTGATACGTAATGTTCAATTTATATTTTTAATTTTCAGTTTATCTACTCATTTTATTTTGATACATATTTTTGCGACTATATCAAAAATATAATGAAAAAAAGTATACACATTAGAAGATGAAGGAAAAAACAGAAGCGTTAATTTATTCTGCCGAATCAATATCGAGGAGAGCGGGATTAAAAACATTGAAAACAAGTCTGATTGTTTCAATTAGTCCCGTTTATCAGCAATCGAACATGTGTTTTTTATGTTTTTAATTCCCCTTCTACATCGGCGATTCTTCAATATTAAATTAATTATTTTTAACATTAATTTTATATTACAATATTATGTATTTTTTTAATTCATGAATTCAAATCCCAGCAATGGCTGGTCCTTGCAAATCCGCATCCGGCTTGCACTAACCACAGTGCTGACGGAAAATATCTTCAGTGGATCAGGAGTTAGAGTCCCCTTGCCACCACGCTAACAGTAGGAGGTTCTCGTGGTCTTCCTCTCCATGTAACGCAAATTCGGATTAGTTTTATCAAAAAGTCGTCCACAAAAACATATTTCTCCCAATACTTGATCCAGGAGTTCCGTTGTCTTCTAGATTGGGTTCAAAATTACAAGGTTATGGAGTTGAACATTGGTAGTCGCAAACCCAAAAATTGGGTCTGCTGTTCAACGACCGTTATAATATTTTAAGTTTGGTTTTTAAAATAAGATGGTTTTTTTCCTATGCGCATCGTTGCCGTTTTTTCCTCTTTCTGGTGAAGATTCTTATAGTGGTAGCGATATAATATTTGATTTTATATTTATCAGCAGGTATTATTTTAACTATGTAAGCATTTCATGTTTTTAATGTTAAGACTTTTCATTTATATCATTTGTGTGTCGCTGGTAAAAACTATTAAATACAAGCTTTGTTAAACAAAGAATTAAAGGAATCAAAACATTTCGTTCAAAACTTAAAAATAAAAATCAATTCCGATGAATCTTTTCAGGCTAAATAATATTTTATCCAGGAATTTGAATTTAGGTAAATGTGTTAAAAAAATAGATTCTCGTAATTATGTTTGAACATTATCGTAATCATGTTTACTAAATTCATTTCATTAAATTATGTTGCACAAGCTGTGTTTGCATAGCACGATTAGTTATGTGAGAGTTAAATATAATTAGTGAAATTAGTCACACGAAGTAATGAAGCATGAACTTATTCATTGACTTTTCTCGTTAAAAATTCATACTAATTCAATAGCGAGAGCAGTATTTTTTTTAAATAATAAATATAGGCTAATTAATTCTATATTTATGTACAACATACGAAGTTCATAGGAATAAAGCTATTTTTAAACAGTATATCCTAAAAAGGACGCTATATCATTTGAGCGACACTCCATGTCAAATCACTTTCAACAGCATTAGTGCTTTGAAATTCCAGAATTCGTCGATATTTTTTAAATATCAAATTGCTAATCAATTATTTCTTCACCTTTCCTTAAGAGCAAGTAATCGTGCTATGATTTTTTAAAATTTAAAATTGTGAAAAAAAACTTTCAGCATTTGAAACTTTATAGTTTACTTTTGTCTCAATTAATTTTTTACATTCTTTAAATTTTATATTACTAAATGGCCTTATTTTTATTACTGAATTTTATATTAAATTTTATATTACTAAATTTTATATTTTCGCCCAAGAAGTATTTCGACCGTGGTAAAGCATGCTTTCATAAGATAAAATAAAATAAAATATTAAAAAAAAAGTATAAAATTGGGAAAAAAGTAAACAAAAATAAAATTGTAAAATTAAATAAAAATAAAATGAAATGCAAAAATAAAATATGAAATAAATATTGAAATAAAATATTAAAAATTAAAATTAATTAAATAAACCATTCGAAATAGTCTTTAATTATTATAATATCATAATAATAGTTACTGTCGGCACATTGGTCTGGTGGAATGCAAGTGTCTTCATTTAGAACAGTTCCTGGGGGACAGAAGCACCCCGAAACACACTTCTCAGAACACTCGGTCAGAGAATCTTCGGAAGATATGTCACATGTCAGTTGGCATGAGGGTCCACAATCATTCCATTCCATGGTAGGAGGACACTCAGAATCTGTTTTAAGTTTATTTGAAGAAAGATAATTAATAGAAACTAATAATAACACTGTACATCAAATTCAAAACGTTTTTTTCTGTCTTTTAGATGAAACTATGCGATCAGAAATGTTAACGAAGTAACTTAAGTTCACCGAAATGTGCGCCAAGTTGGCGACGGTTTCATCGCAAACAGAGCGACTCTCCACTGCTTGTAAGCTGTTATTGCAGGCCGTTCAAATGAGAAATGCTACGCCAAGCTAAAAGGTGGGTTATGAAGGAAATAGAGCTTGGTAAACAAAATAAGTAAAAGTTTGTTATTTTCATCGAAAAGTATGAAAGTAACACATACTTTTCAAATTAAAGACATATTTCATGCTGCAAAGTGCTAGGTTAGAGAAATAATGACACAAAGTTATCTTTTCCTATGCAAGGCGTTCTCTAATTTAAGAATTTCTTAAAAACAGAAGTCAAAACTGAATGTATAGTTCGTTCACCAGGAGTTGGCACTTGGCCCCGCCTTTATCACGTGGTATCTGACGACACTATTTCGCCATTTTTGGAAGAAGAATGTGAATTATCCTAAACAAGGTTGCTATTTGGCTCTAGTATGACAACAATATTTATTTCGCAATCTTTATGGGCATTTTTTTAACATTAAATATTTCATAAATTTGATGATATTTCCTTCTTTTGAGTGAATAGTTTGTACATATTGAGACATTTTGTTGGGAAAACAGTAGTTTTTAAATTTGAAATGTATTTAATTAGCTAGAGTAACGAAAGGTATAATAGCAGATGATAAAGCAAGGTCAGTGACTAAAAAAGAATTCACCGTTTGCGTTTCTCGCGCTTTAAGGGTTGTCTCATTTTCAAGTTCTTACTTCCGTGCTGAAATGAACTCTGCGTCCGAGTAGGTGGAGCCAAGTGCCAACTTCTGGTGAATGAACTATACACATTTGCAAATTAATATTTAAGGGGGGAAAACTCTGACTAATTCTAACGAGCCACTAGCGAGGAAAGCGTAATTGAAAATATTAAAACCAGTTTTATTAATTGAAATAATCTTATGTTTTATCAGTTACCTTGTGTTCGGTGTTTAAACTCTCCTCTGCTTCATACAGCAACTAAACTGGTTTCCATGTTTTCAGCTCTACAATTGTGAGTGATTCGTTAGATTTTGATAGGGGTTTCGTTTTATACTTCCTTAAATTTTAATTTTCGAACCCTTATGCTTATTCTTTTTTACAACATTTTTGACAAAGACTCCACAAATATATGTCAAGGGCGGACGTTACGGAACACTGTGTGTAAAATGCCAAAATAAATATTTCATTACCAAGATAAACATGCTACGATTCTCTCAATTCTAATTTGTATAAAGAGTTAAGTTCCATTATGTTTTTCCAACCTGAACCAAAAATAGGCATTTAGGTACAATCATAGCTAATTAGTCAAGGCCTTTTAAAAATAAATTAGGTAACTTAATCACTGTAACCAAATAAAATAATTCTTATTAGACTTAATTTACGGCATATGAATCTACGACAAGTATGTTTATTTCTCTATTTCCGTAATGACATTGGTTTTAGTTAAAATGAGCTAATAAAAACAAATATCAATGGTTTCCAAATAGCGAATTACAAAAAATTAAACTATGTCTATAAAAATTGTGAATAAAACTTATTTAAAAAATGTCCGAAGAAAGCTTTAGAAAACTAATGGAAAGCATGTTTCAATCCGAAATAGAGTTACTCTTCTTACGAGGACGAACTAAATCCGTTAATCTACTTCTATCCATCAATTAACAGCTTATATTAGTATCCAATAGCAGCAACACAACAAGTGAAAGTGCCATGCTGCAGTTAATTACCAATTTATGCAGAACTGAAGTATGGCAGCAGTTCGGGCTGCCGTTGGTTACCAGGTAAAACTATCGAATATAAGCCAATATCTGTTAAACAGTTTATTTAGGTGGCTAATAGAACAAATGTAAGCATCTCAAACAATGAATAATCCAAAATACTGACGTTTCTGATTTTTTCTTTTAAATCAGACTTTTTAAATTAATGTCGCTGAAAGTTTTCGGTAGACTTACGGCAAGCATGTTTCAACCTCCAATTCCGGACTGCAGTTGGCCCCAGCTTCTCTTCGCATTCATCTACAAATGGCTGGAAGCTATCACATTTGCATTTTTCAGCTGTTTTGTTCTTCTGCAATATGCATTCGCAAGTAGAACTCATGCAGAACTCTACGAAACTGTCCACGTTGAGTACTTGACCACATGCCACGAATGGATCTTTTCTGAAAAGAAATTACAACGTCCATTATTTTTTGCCATATTTTAATTAAAAGTGTGAAGATTTAAGCAAAGCGCCAGTCTATAATCCTTCACTACCTCTTTATCTTTTAAATAAATCCGTTTGCTTAAGACACTGCTCATGTATAGCAGGAGATACCACTGATTTTTAGTCATAATCCTAAATCATTGGTTAAAGCTGCTTCGTGGTACAAATAAACAAACATTGTTAATAGCAGCTTCTATCCCAAATGTTCCAAAATTTGACGGATAAATTCAGAGGTAAGAAATACGGCCTCAAAATGATACAAACATTATGTTTAGAGGGCAAAAATCGTGAAAAACTCTAAATCTAACCATTTTCTGGCAAAGGCTTTGAATTTAGAGGAGATGAAAAACGGAGGTTAGTTTAGGTTTGCCTTACCGAAATTAAGCTCCTGTAAGGTGCTATTCGCTTTGAAGACCCGAAGATCTTCAGTAACTGCGGGGTTTTATCTATAGGGCCATATAAAAAGTGAATTTTTGCCATGCTTGTAGACTTACAGGTGGATTTCGTTACGTAGGTTGTCGTAGCTTTGGTAGACATCAAAAACACGCGTGGCATCTTTGATCATGTCCGGGAACAATTTTTGCATTGTTGTAGAATGTGTAATGATGGCATAAGAAACAGCCTTTACATTGCAAATCGATCACGTCACAAACATATTAATGAACCGTTGAGAAATTTATAAATATATCTTACTTTAACTTGTTGCACTCTTCAAGAGCTTTAACCATCATTTCGTGAGGGCAGACCACTGGATGGCATACTTTTTCTTCACCTTCTAACGCCCAACTATTGCCAAACTCTTTACTCGTAAAAGCAAGTTGGTCATCTGGTTTCTTTTGATCGTCTTCTGGTTTTCCAGAATAAAATCCACAGAGACCACCCAAACGTTTTTTCAGTGAAGGCTCAACCTTTAAATTAATGAGATAAATGTAAAAAACAAAAAGAATGATTTTACAATTCAAAGTAATTCAAAATCTTCGTTAAGTAGCTTAACGACTGTCGAGGCAATAAAGAGCTTCAAAGATCTTTCACCAGGAAAAAAAATTATAATTCAAAGCAAAGCTAAGAAAATAAAAAAGTAAAAAAAGTAATTTTTAGCTTCAAAAAATGTTTAGTCTCTAAAACAGCCAAATCGCTCTTATATTTGAAAAACAACAAAGCTATGTGAAGTATCACCGATTTGGTGAGTGAATTTAGATAAAACTAGAGTATAACATGCGATGAAATTTTTCTTCAAAAAGTTTGAAATGAAGACTAATCATGACAGGATTACTTTCCAACTGCGTAATCCTGCCATAACTTGTTATATGATTGAGCATCACGGAGAAAGAAATATCACATAATTTTTTCCTAGTTTTCTTCCATCAATTTTATTAAATAAGCATGGAGGCCTAAAAACGCATGGCATACTTGTTTAAGCTAACTAAAGGAATTTAAACTTACTAATTGTAATTATATTTTCTACAAATGTCTCCCAGTGAGCCGTGATGGCTCAGGGGATAGAACGTTTACCTTCCAATGAGGTAAACCGGGTTCGAATCCCAGTGATGGCTGGTCGATACGAATTTCGCACCTGGTTCGCACCGACCACAGTGCTGACGTAAGATATCTTCAGTGGTAGACTGATCATGGGTTAAAGTTCCTACGCCGTCGGGATAACCATGGGAGGTTTTTGTGGTTTTCGTACCCGTGTAACGCAAATGCAGATTAGTTCCACCAAAAAGTCCTCATCGAAGGCAAATTTTCTCCAATACTTGATCCAGGAGTTCCCTTGTCTTCAGGATTGGGTTCAAAATTACAAGGCTACGGAGTTGAACACTGGTAGCCGTAAACCCAAAACAATTGTTCAACGATGGTTATAAAATAAAACGCTGCGCAGTGGTTCAATGGTTGCGCTTTCGTACCACAGGNAACTTTTATAAAAATTCATTATCTAAATAGAAACCGCCTCGTTACTTCAAAAAGAAACGCAGGTGAAAAAAATTAAAAAATAGATAAAGTCAAGGAAAATTAAAATGCAAATAAAAAGCATAAATAAAATATATATAGTTGGAATTCTCCTAATTTCATAACATATTTTTTAATGTAGTTATTCTAAATATTTATGATTTAAAAAAAAAATTATATTCTCTTAAATTTAAATATCTATAAATTATATCATCGTAAATTTAAATATCTACAAGCAATTGTAAAATTTCTAATGTCATAATGAACCTAAATTATTATTTTGTGTCAGTAATTAATGTTTAAGGTTGACGTTTCCTAATGATTAAGTATGAACAAATTGCTATTAACGGCATATTTTAAAATCGGGGATACTAAATTTAACTCAACTTATTGTTATAAAAGAATATGCACATAAAAAAAGCTTCAATATATGCTTTCATTTTTTTTAATAATTAAAGTTAAAACTGAACTTTTTAAAATAAAGTATTTATAGTGTCATTTTCGCCAACTAGTAAAACATTTTTATAAGTTTAAAATGGTATTTTCTTTAATATAATGGCCAAGAAAGTTTTTTTGAACTATGTTTATGAACGGAAATAATGTGTTAATTACGTAAAGTTTGAAAGCTAATAGCCAGAAAAAGTCTAAACTTATTTTTACAAAGAGAAAGATGCAAAGTTATCATAATATCTTTGCTTCCGAGATCTGTGGACACAGTGACGTCATGAGGAGGAAAATCGTAGCTTCAGCTCTAAGAGCGGAGTGAACTAGCCCTTCTATTCTCTTTAGCCCTGATGAACGGTACTCTTACATGCTCTTAAGTGTCTAAGACTGTCTCTCAATTTTTTACTGAATATTCTACTGCCAGATTAATGATTTATGCATTTTTTTGCATTTTTGGATATTCTTTGTCCCTTAGAGCATTTTTTTAGATTTATAGGGCATTTTTCTTTAAATTTTTTGGCGTATTTTGCATTTTAAAGCATTTTTTATTTTTTTTTAAAATTTTTTCCAATTTTTATTATTTTTTAATCATTTTTTATTATTACACTGACTTCCAAACAATGAAGAAAATCTCTAGGATATTAACAGGTGAAGCAACATCTTTTCGAATTGAAGAAGAATTGTCGGTAAGTGAGATCGTCTTTTTCAAGTACGCACCAATAACATTAGTAGACGTTGAAAAAAGCTTCTCCAGGTATAAAAATTTACTTTCAGACAAGAGAGGCTCGTTTACATTTAAAAATATCAAAAAAAAAAAAATTATAACCCAATGTAATTCTGATATTTAGTAATATTATGAGATGGAAGTTGTTATATTCATTTAAGTTTCTATACAAAATGAAAATGTTTTGGAGTCAATATATTTTCCTTTTTTTTTGTTATTTTGGGATATAAAACATATTTTCCAAGCTTTAATGAACGTAGAACAAGTATTGCATTGCTTTATATTTTTTGAAATGACTCATAATAATTTTAAAGAGTAAAACATTGTTTTAGTTCAATATTTTTACTTTATTTAAGACACGTCATAAGGCATTTTTAGCGCAATTTTCGCATTTTTAAGGGCATTTTCGCACTTTTTAAGGGCATATTTTGCACTTTTTAAGGGCATTAATTGAGATTTTTAAGGTAATCAAAATCCGGGCTTTAGTAATTAGCATTAAAGTTGGTTTTATTTTAGATTAAAAACTTTTTGATCTGTTACATTTTTCAGTTAAGACATTGCAAAAATATTTAACAATGATACTGCGGTTTAAAGCGCAACATTTTGTTGGTATATTTTAATTAAAATTCGGAGGCATGGAAAATAGTAGAAAAAAACCTGCAGGTTCACATTTTATGGGTAAATAAAAACGATATTTCATAAGTGGGGGTAAATGAGGAAGTAATGTTTACAACTTTCCTAAAATTCATATTGTGTTTTTATAGCTGGAAATGTAGGAAATTTTTTATAGACTACAATGGCTGGTATTTTTAAGCAAGGTATGCAAAGATGAGAGTTATATGATGTACCTGGGATAGTAAAAAACGATAAATGTTCTTTATAGGAAATATATGATTGAGTATCACGGAGAAAGAAATATCACATAATTTTTTCCTAGTTTCCTTCCATCAATTTTATTAATTAAGAATGGAGGCCTAAGAACGTATGGCATACTTGTTTAAGATAGCTAAACGAAATTTAAACTTACTAATTGTAATTATATTTTCTACAAATGCCATCCAGTGAGCCGTGGTGGCTCAGGGGATAGAGTATTTGCCTTCCAATGAGGTGAACCAGGTTCAAATCCCAGTGATGGCTTGTCGATACGAATTCCGCATCTGGTTCGCACCAATCACAGTGCTGACGTAAAATATCCTCAGTGGTAGACTGATCATGGGTTAAAGTTCCTACCCCGTCGGGATAACCATGGGAGGTTTTTGTGGTTTTCCTACCCGTGTAACGCAAATGCAGATTAGTTCCACCAAAAAGTCCTCATCGAAGGCAAATTTTCTCCAATACTTGATCCAGGAGTTCCCTTGTCTTCAGGATTGGGTTCAAAATTACAAGGCTACGGAGTTGAACACTGGTAGCCGTAAACCCAAAACAATTGTTCAACGATGGTTATAAAATAAAACGCTGCGCAGTGGTTCAATGGTTGCGCTTTCGTACCACAGGTTCGGGGATCTATCCTCGGACCGGTCACTGTTAACTCAGCCTTTCATCCCTTTAGTGAGCCCATAAAATGAGTACCAGGCATGCTTGGGGGACTAGACACTGGGGTTTCTGCGTTCGGCTGACCACCTAACCGGAACGTCTGCACCTGCACTTCAGAGCCCATGGTCAAGAAAACTGGGATTGGCAAAGTTGATTTTGGCCCTTCATAGGCTGTCGCGACACTGAGTTTAGTTCAGTCTTTCTAAGAATATACATTATGATATAAATCATTAATATATTAAGGAAAAGCATGAAATCACCATACTACATTTTGATATTTGGCTTTGTATAAAATACCTAAACAATGTGTAAAATGTATAAGCATTTCTTATGTAGTTTTTATAGCATTATATACAATGCCGGAATCCTTACTTTTTCGGTAAAAAATATACTTCTTTGTAATTCAAGGTTTGGCCTTCATAAGGTTGTATATACTGTTTAGAAAATATTACTTAGAAAGTAAATTTATCAAATAAGGAAAAAAATATGAAATATTTTATAACAAAAAAAAGAAGACCCATTTGAAACATTATTTTTTAAAAAAGGGAAATATGTTGTGAAATTGCCAAACTAAGTATCATTACGCATCTTTGCCTTCAAAAACGATGACTGTAAAAATGCTAGAATTATAACTTTACTTCTATTTTAAGGTGTCCCTTGTTGTCGTATACCAAAGTATAACCTTTCACTAATGATTTGATGATGACTTGGTCTCCTATCTTCTCTACAAGAAAGTTCTTGGCTCTCTGTCTCCTGTTCATATTTGTTAGCACATAGGCTGTGTAGTTGTGTCCGTCCATTTCCACCTCCAAGTTAGAAGAAATTTTGACATGACGCTGCTTGTTGTGCACTTCTAACCAGTGGTTGCAATTTCCAGTATACCCACACTCTTTGTGCACTGGGGAAAAGGGAGGATAAATAAATAAACAAAAATAGAAATCTTTTGAGAAAATGTTTAATAGAAACTCTTTTAAGATAAAAAAAAATGTAGGAGAAAATTTTTAGTGTTTATTTACCATTGTATCAGACATATAAATTTGATCAAGTGTGAAGTGGACACGCTTGATATTGGCACAAAAAATATAGTAGTGATAGTGACTTAAAACTTCCCGCCACGTTTTAGGACATTAAATTCCGATAAAAAATTGCACAGCTGATTTCTGAAAACTGTTCAACTAGATCTCATGAAAGCATTTAACACTAGATTGCCTAAGGAAGTCATTTTGACTGCTTTTAATTTCAATTAGAAAAACAATGATGTATACAATGACACGATTTCTTAGAATTTTGTGACTTTTTGAACAACATATAATTTTTTTTATTGTTAATATTTACTAATAACTTGTTACATAACTGTAAATAATATAAAAAATATTAAAAATTAATTTTAAGCAAATTTATTGACGCATTCACAATTCATTTTGACTGCTTTTAGGCAATATAGGCATATATTCATTTTCCGTCTTTCTAGTGTTAAACTGGATGTAAGGCAGGGCTAAGATCGATGCTCCCAAAACAGAACAAGCTGCAGTTGCATGATTTTCAGTGACAAAATGTGGTAATTTATCATCGAATGCCCGATGTTTGAAGCGAACAATATCTAAGATTGAGTCTCGATGGCTCAGGGGATAGAGCGTTCGCCTTTCAATGAGGCGAACCGGGTTCGAATCCCAGTCGATACGAATTCCGCATCCGGCTTGCACCGACCACAGTGCTGACGTGAAATATCCTCAGTGGTAGACGGATCATGGGTTAGAGTCCCCTTGCCGTCAGGCTTACCGTGGAAGGTTCTCGTGGTCTTCCTCTCCATGTAGCGCAAATTCGGGTTTGCTCCATCAAAAAGTCGCCCACGAAGCCAAATTTCTCCCAATTATCGATCCAGGAGTTCCCATGTCTTCTGGATTGGATTCAAAGTTGCAAGGCTACGGAGATGAACATTAGTAGTTGTGTACCCATAAAATTGGGTCGGCTGTTCAATGACGGTTACAAAATAAAATAAAAAATATCTAAGATAAACAGCTATGAACTAATTGCGTAAAAGTTTTCGTGCCGAACGTACATGACTATCGGATAGATCCGAAACAAGCAAGTGTCTATGATCTTCCCTGAATTCATTGTTTTGAGGAGAAGTTATCAAAATTCAGCTACTGCCACAAATAAATAAATACACTTGTGTCCAAAAGTTAAGCATGCTTTTACACTGAACATATATGCAAAATTATGCTAAACTTTTAGACAACAGTGTATTTTCTATATGGTTCCTAATGGAAGTACTGCTACGATTATCGCATTTTGAATATTATCGCACTGGTTCACTTTTTATAGGTGCAACTCTTATAGGTTTCCCTAGGGTGTAGAAAAATCCATTAGCTACATAGGGATATCCTTCAAATAGAAATATTTTTATATAGAGAGCTAAAAAATAAATATGGAAAGCTAACTGTTAACATTTAGTTAAGCTTACGTTACATAATTTTTTTGTTGCATTTTGCAATAAAAATTACACTGAATTTATTATGAAAAACATCAAACATTCATATAGATAATATTTTTTAACCATTTTAATGCATATTATTTTAACTTCTTTATTATTTTAATTATAAGATCAGGCATTAGAAACTATTCTAATATTTCTATTAAAAGTTGACGCGCTCTCAATGGAGTTTGTGTTAGAGTATAAAAATAGACCACATGACATACATTCCCTGTATCTAACATAGTCTAAAAGATACGACTTATGGTTAGCAGTCTGCAATTGATTGAGAGCCAAAATATATAAAAAAAGAAACGAAATAATAGTTAATATGTAGGTTTTTCTTGTGCAGGAGCGGCAAGATGGCTTTTTTAAGCTGAATCTCAAAATTCGAGGTAAGTATTTTTCTCTTGCATTAAAAATCGTGCTTAACTGTTCAAATCACTAAATGACCATTTACCTCAGAGAACTTTGAAATGCTATATAAATTACAGTTTGCAATAAATCACTTAAAATAGATAATACAGCATTTTTATAGAATAATTGACTATCATAAAGTATTTTGATTACTGAATATTAAAATACGAAAATTCTTAAAATTCAGAGTGTGGGCTTTTGCTGCCCATTAGAGTAGATATCGGAGTGCAATGGGTTGCACGCGAAAAATAAAATGCTAAACAACGGCATATTTTGCGAAATTTTTAGCTTTTATAAAATATAAAAGATATTTTTTACACTTTTATCAAGTTTCTTCTATTATTATTTACTTAATAAACACATATTTTTTTCAACGCAAAAAGTTACTTTTTGTAGTATATTTGTATTGTATATCTGGTAATTAATTTACGCCGTTAATTTATTGGTCCATTGGTGGCGTTACGATAGTGTGGTATACCGGGAGGTGGCGCTTACCCTTAAAAGTAGATCAGTACAGAATGACGGGCAGAGGCACTTAACCTTAAAAATATCGCTGTAAGTGCTTAAAAAAATGTCAGTGAAATTTGTTCTAACAAGTGAAGTTAGTTCTAGCAGAATATTTGGTTTTGTCCATATATGCGATTTACCTGTGTAGTTACTTTATGAATCAATTCGTGGCGCTACTATAGTGTAGTATGGTAGAGTATATCAGACAGTGGCACTTAATCATGAAACAACTTCAGTGCATGGAATCCCGGGCTGAGACACTTGATCGTGAAACAACTCAACTTCAGTGCATGGAATCCCGGACAGAGACGCTTGATCGTGAAACAACTCAACTTCAGTGCATGGAATCGCGGGCAGTAGCACTTACCCTAAAAAATACACCAGTGTGCCACGCAATGGCCATTATTATTAAAGCAACACCAGTGCACAGTATACCGGGTAGTGCCACTTAATTATAAAATATATCAGCGTAAGGCCATTTTCAGAAAAGACACTGACTAAAGATAGTTTAAACTTGACCTAACAGTCATAAATAATTGTTGCAAACCTCAACAGTTATGATGATAACATATTATTCGTTAAAACAGTTTCAATTCATGCAACAGCAGAGTTCCAAAAAATAGCCTGAAAAGGTTTCTAATCTAAGCTTCAACCAATTTTGTGCAGTGGTGTACTTACGTGTTACGTTGAAAGTTCCGTTACGTATGTCTTTCATGACAACATGATTGCAAGAGTCATAAGTGATGTCCTGTCCGTCAAAAGTTTTGATTCGTTTACCCATCATGTCGCATGTTGCTTTACCTAGGTGCAAAAAAAAATTCATTTTTCAGGATGGTACACAGTAATCTATCAGGATGACTCTTAAATTTTATGGATTCTTGTCGGAAACGAAATTAATATATAAAATAAGTAGTGTTTTTAAATTAATATTTAAGCATGGAAAATAAATTCTATCAAATTTTCATCAATGACAATTGAGGAAAGCGGTGCTGAAAACATTAAAACGTGTTTGATTGCAGGAGAAAACCAATAGGAATCATAAGGTGACGATTGGAAATCCCTACAATTTTTTATCAGGCTATTGGTTTTAATGTTCGTCATTCCGTTTTCCGAACTAGCGATTTTTCAGATGTCGATATCGTTTCTGTTTTGTCCTCGCTTAAATATTAGACAAATACTTAATTGAATAAAAATGAAGTCAAATATGAATGCTAGAATTCCCCTTGCAGCAAATTTGCTTTAACCACCATCTTGAATTTACTAACAGGGAAAACCTGTTAAAAGAGGAAAAAAGTATTTTACTATTTAGACAAGTGAGGTGTTTTAGCAAATGAGGTTGTTACGCTGAGGCAAATAAAACGAAATTCAAGTTGATGCAATAATGAATATTTTAGAAGCTAAAAGTTAATTAATAGATATGGTGTGAATAAAATGCATTCTTTGACTTATACCAATTTATGCGTCTAATATTCCCCTCAAGCAAAAAAGTACATTTTGCTAAAAGTATATTTTGCTAGTATTTTTTAAAGTATATTTTGCTATTTATTAAAATTTGCAGTAAAGTATAATTTGCTGCACATGTTTCGACATGAATCGAATAAAATCAATAGGACAATTGGATAACGGAAAAAAGTCAAAAATATTTTATGCATGAAAAGTAATGTTTCACGCTTTCTACTTTTTCACACTTCTGCTAATGCTATCTAGACAAGAAAGTAAATGTTTCCTATATACTAATTTATGCTGAATTCAAAAGGACCAAAAGTAAGTTAACGGATTCAATAGTTAACTAGTTGTGATTGTTTCATGAATAAATATGTTTAATCTAAAATTATACTTTTTGCGCACAAAAAACTTCTAAACTGACAGATTTATCGACTAGTTGAGTTGGTATATAGTTCAATTGAGTGGTAATTGCTACTTTTTTTTAATAAACTCAAATTTTTTCATCTTTTTAAGCATTTTTATAAGTATTTTCAGCTGTAACCGAGGACTAAAAATTCTTAGTATATATAGTTATTAGTATTATATGGTTCAATTGAGTGGTAATTGCTTCTTTCTTTTAATAAACTCAAATTTTTTCATCCTTTTAAGCATTTGCATAAGTATTTTCAGCTGTAACCGAAGACTAAAAATTCTTAGTATATATAGTTATTAGTATTATATTGTTCAATTGAGTGGTAATTGCTTCTTTCTTCTAATAAACTCAAATTTGTTTCATCCTTTTAAGCATTTTCTGAAGTATTTTCAGCTGTAACCGAGGACTAAAAATTCTTACCTGGTGGAGCAGGAGTAGTTGGCACTGAAAGGAGAAAAAGAAAATGCTTTGATGAATTTTGAACTCAAAATAAATTGCTTCAATTGTTATATACAGAATTAAGAGAAAAGAAGCAGAGTTAAATAAAATTTGATCCAATACTCATATTGATGTGCAAAAAAAATAAAATGATGGTAAATTTATATTTTACCTGATTAAGTTGAATTATACAAGTATTGAATTGTAAGATATACAAGGTATTGAAAAAAATGTTGAATTGTACGGTATACAATTTTTGCACCATTTTAAAGAATATAATTTTACATGGTAAGTTACAAAGTTTAAGCAAAATCGGACCCTGAGAAATTAAATTTCAAGAAAGCCGAATGTTTAAAGCCCATTCTGTAACCCACTACTTTCTGTAAAATGTTTAAAAAAATGTTAAATGTTTTTGTTATTAAATATGTATGCAAGTAGTAATTGGGGTTTGATTTATTATTGTATGTTAATGTGTTTCTTTGTTACACTCAGTTCTTCTATATAAACTATTTATTAAGCTCTTGCTACTTTAGAAGTTTTTCCTTACATTGAACTACTAATATCAGGTAAAGAATTTCGAACCAAATAATTTTGCTACTAAAATTATTTTTAATTTTTTTTAGAAAAGCTTAATGTTTGGGAACATAATAACTTACCTGTCGGAGCTGCTGTAACTTCTATAGTCGTTGCTAAAATATAACAGAAACAAAATGAGCGATTAAACATTACATTTTAAATCATCACATTAACAAAATTTTAAAGTTTATTAAAATAGCATAAAAGTTGGTCAAATGAAGCTGTTTACGCAATTTTAAATGTTTATTAGAAATTGTAAATACTTTAATGGAAAGTTTCATAAAGCAAGAAGGAAACAATCAAAGATATAAAGGAAAAAATATGACATTAGCTTGTTTATTAAGTATCTTGATAAAATTCTTTGATTTCAATCAAACTCGTTTTAGTTTCACCATGGTAGCTAAGCAACAGACTTCCTTTGTCAGTTGTCTATGAACAAAGAAAAATTTGATAAAATATTGCTTGAACTATTGCTTGAGTTAATCAACAAAAGTTTCTGTTTACTCCATAGATTGTTTTCTTGTTAGTCTTTTGAGGCAAAGTGAACACTCTAACCGTGAAACAAAATGCACCGCTTTGAACACAAAGGGCTTTAAAGTTCCATCTTGATTTTCACTACATGCTTTTATTCTCAACTACTTCGTTGCTTTTGTCCAACTCTTTCTGTAAAGATTTTTGGAAGAACCCAGAATTTTGCGAATGAGTCTAAACTTAGTTCCATAGCTCATCAAAATGGATTGTTGAAAAATAAACGTGATTGGAATATCTTCATTTTTCGGTGTCCGAAAAATTGCTAACGAAAGGAAAAACAATTTAAAGAAAAACGAAAGAAGACATCATTGTATGGCTGAGTAAAAAGTGGGAACATTTTGACACTCCTTAGTTTATCAGGAGATGGCACTGCAAATAGATAAAGAATATTAAATAATGCAGAAATATGTGCAGCAAGAACGAAGCTCAATTTGAGGACAAACTTAAAAGACACTTGAGCAAATGTTTTAGAATGGTCAGACATGCAGCAGAAGATACTGCTTAGGCTTTTTCATCCAACAATTTCATCTGTTTTCAGATTTTGTAATGAATTTTTCAAATTGTTCAGAAGTGCAATCCTTGTCAGAGAAGAAGTGTGATCTTCTCCTGTGACAATAGCAAAACATACATTTCCTTTGATTTTATTTTCATATCATTGGTCATTTTTTTATTTTTAGAACACCCGCAGTGTACAATTTTTAAAAAATTAAACTATTCACTTGTTTGTTTAAAAGTTGAAAAATTAATAAGGATATAGTAAAACTTTCTAGATTTAAAAATGATTACACTCTTTTTGGCGTCTCAAGCTTATGTGATTTTCCCACTCAAGTTACTATGGTTTCGGCAAATCTTGCTTTATCCCCACGTTAGTGCATTGCAACTACTCACTGAAACGTGGGAAAAAGCAAGATTTGCCGAAACCATCGTAGCGCCGAGGAGGAAAGTGTGGTGAATGGGGGGAATCACATACCCTGTTCTATATGTTGTTGTTGACGTAAGCCTGTTTAGGAAGAGGGAGTGCGATTGGTTCTTGTTTTCCAGTGGCGCCATCTATGGCCAAGAATTCGACTTCTGCTACACCATACGTTGCACCCGTTTATAGGGCGGACCCATTCATACATCCATTCATTCATTCATCCACAGATCGTAATTTTGACCTGAATCAGAGAACGAACGATCTCCAATCTAGTACCCCCAGAGGTATTGATTTTCCGTGTTCTATCTACAAAGGGTGATTAAAAAAAGGTGCAACCTACATGTGCAGTTGAGCTCATCGTCGTGACAGTCTTCAATTCCATCACACCAACGTTGCTTTGGAATGCACTCGTGGTGAGTCGGGCAAAGAACTTTACCCGCTTCGCATTCTTCACATGTGCACGAACAATCTTCTTTCAAGATGGATCTTTCATTCTGAAAAAAAGAAGAATATAACGGTTCACGAAAACTGTTTATGACACAATACATGACTTTCAAATCGAATTTGAAGAGACTCATCATTCTAATTGGAAGAAACTTAGTCATGACTACCTACAGTTACTTTAAATAGAAAAGTGAATTTGAAGAGACTCAATCTAACTTTCTCATTGATAATTTAATTCTTCTCTTCAAATCAGAATTATACATACTACCCATTTTACAAACTAACTTCTCTCACCAGTTGTTTAATTGCACAGTTGATGCCAAACTAGCAACCATAATATAAAGTGGTAATGGTGGAAAAAAGGACTTGTCTAACTTCGCAACGCTTAAAAACTTTCACGCGCAAATATCAGGTCTAATAAATGTGTTTAGTTGTTGCTGTCAAAATAATTGTAAATAAACTTTAAAATCAAAAATTAAATAGTAAAGTGTAAGTCTTGTAACCATTTGTGGTTACAGGGGGAGATTTCATTTCATGAGTTATTTTGGCACTTATTTTGTCAAACCCAACCGTTGGCATCTATGATTACGAGTTAAAAAAATCACAAGTAGAGGTATCGTTTAAACGTGCACGACATGCTTTGACTCGAGTAGTCGCCGAAGAAAGAGTCAGAATCTTTGAAATGCGTTAGAGCAGCAGACAATCCCAGATATTATGTTGGAAATATCGAGTTCTCTTGGATTACAGAAATTTTTTTTAAAAAATGTACCGAGTTGATTGAATGACTATTAAAAGAGCAGGTATTCGATGCACTTTTTACCTCATACTTACCCTGCGTTTATTATTGAAACTGAGGGATGGTTGTAAGAATAGCCCTTTTTTTTCAAAAATAAAGAAATAAAGACCTACCTCAGAACACTGTGGACACTTCTTTTCAACACACTTAGACGAGCCTCCAAGAGCGCAGAAGCATTCTCTACAATCCAAGTCGATGATTTTATCACTAACCTGTAGACAAAGTCAAGGAAATTTAATGTTAAAGCTTCCATTCTTTTATTTCAACAACTTACGCATGCAAAATCTATGGAAAATGGGCAATAAAAACCCATACATTCTGATCTGAAAAAAAAAACTACATCGACATGGATCAAGATTATACTCTTTGATAAGGTGCAATAATGCAGCGAAGTCAAATTTAGTGACATTTTAAAATGTGATATGCTACAAGAGGACAGAATACGAACTAGAGCTAGTTATTTTTTTTACACAAGTTGTAAAAAAAAAAGAAGCGTTAACAACATCACTCATGCTTTTAATGTAAATATTTTATTGAATTGTTAACTCTAATTTGGCAAACGTTATTGTAAACTTTTAATTTTGTCTTTCTAACCTACGTATCAACTCAACTACTACCTTAAACTACAGGAACAAATTGCCTCTAGAGAGAACATCGGCTGGAGCCGATGACACAATCAAAGCTTAACTATAAACCAGCGATTACGGGAAATAGTAAACGTTCATTTTGAAGACGAAAACAGACCGGTCTATTAGCTGTGAGGGGCGTCAGCCGAAAGCTATACACTATCCATTTTGTCGCCAAGTTTCGGGAAATGTGTGAATTTATCTCTACAGCTCTATTTGACAGAGTTTTTTTCCCTCACTCTTGTTGGTTACTTGGCAGTTTTCCTTATTATTCGTTACCTACCAGTATTGCAGCATTCGAATGATTTGATTTGAACTGCAAAGACTTTTCGCAGATCGTAGCAATCTTTGTTCTAATATGTCCCAAATATGCTTGTTATTATTCATTAAAATTGTTCTTTATTTCCGCATCTTTTAATTTTGTTGTACCTTATTAGAAACCGCTGACACACGAACTCTAGAAATGGATATCCCAGTATGCTATTTCATTTACATTCCAATTACCACAATGATTTCTCATACAACAGCTGAATTATAAGATCAATGGGAATGACCTATGTGCCCAGTTGTCTGATGTTATTGCAAATGATGTTTATTTTTTGTCTTGCAATACTATATCCGTTTGCCTTTCAATTACTAAAATAAGTTAGAGGTCCAGCTGAGGCTCAGTAAAAATGTTGTCGATGACAATATCTACATGGATGAAAGGAACAAAAAAATGATCGTGGCATACTTGATATATTTTTCCATTATGCACGCAGACGCAGTCGACCGGATCCACACACTCTTTGCCATCACAAACTGTTCCTGAAGGACAAGACGCTGGACAGTTCACAGCAAGGCCTGATTCATGCGACAGTTCTGGACAGAGTACTAAAACTCCGGGCGTAGTCAGGCTGAGAACTAAATATGACAGATCACAACATTAAAATTTGATGTCAAAAAGGCGAGAAAGAAAAATCAAAAACAACTTATGGTGAAATAACGCCATAATTTTCCACCAAAACGTCCATGATTGGATTTATGATGTATTTTTCGTAGGCTAATTGGAAAAGCAGGTTCTTTGCAAACCCTTGACGACCCTTTGCAATACTCTTACAAGGTTAATGGAAATAAGTCGAACAAACGACGTAGGCACTTTGCAAAGACAATAAGCCTACGACATATATACCGTATATTTTGGTTTCATTAACCAATTTCTTTCCATCAGAAATGTCATCATACAGTACAATAATTTTATCGGTGCTTTGCAAAATAAGGATATTTAGTAGGGGAGTGTTGGGCACCCCCTCTCACTGTCAATTTCATATGTATAGAATATTTTTTCAAGTCAATAGGCCATCGGACATTAATTGTTATAGTAAGAAAAGATTATTTTTAAAGTTTCAAGTATTTATGCAGCTGGTCACATGGTAAACAATAGTTTTGAAAATATGTTGAATACAGTAGTCATGAAATTAAGAAAAATTGGTTGAATGTTTCGATTAAACTTCATTTTAATACCAATACCATTGGTATTTTCATTTACACCTGAAAAAACAGTCAAAAAAACATAATTTTTGTAACTGGGCCGGGCTACCCGACACATTTTGAAAAGAGCTGAAAAACATGTTTTTTTAAATTTCTATTTTTTTAAGTTAAACTATTTTTTTTTTGGTTTATTCTTTTTGCATTATTTAATTAGATGAACAAACAATAGAAACATAGAAAAATATTGATTATTACTCAATATTATACAGAAATATAAGCAATACTCCTTAAGTGAGCGGGGCTATCCGACTCTCTCCTAACTGTTTCGGACGTTCACTAAACTGATTATATGAATATCAACGTTCACCAAATACTTAACTTTCACAGTGACATTTTAACAGTTACACAGAAATATCGATATTTAACAACTATTAATGATATTTACTAAATAAATGTAGACATGTAGCAAATTTTCAACTGTCACGATAATATTTTAATGTTGACATTTTTGATAAAATATAGTTACAACGCTGTTAAAGTAAAAAATAAAAGTTATAAAAATGGCATTTTTCATGAATCTTACCTTCTTCAAATGGGCAGACAAGAACATCCAGTCTAAGACTAGGCCATTTGTGCCATGATTCTGGAATAATTTTGATGAATTTTGCTTTCATTGGTTGTTTGAAGTAGTGATGTATGGGTGTGTCTTGATCTTCATTTCCTTCAAGGACCTGAATAATAATATTGTCCATTAAGAAATCATGGATATGAGTATAAAAGTTTGATTACGAATTTTTATAATAATAGTCAAATAGCATGAATTGAGTTATCTAAAACAAAAGTGTTTTACTTTTTTAAGTCACGGAACACTTTTGAAATCTGAAATAAATAAACTTTAATAAACATAATAAAAAAATAATCATAGGTATAACATTACGCAATGTTGCAAATAAAAATGCAATAAAATATCAAATAAAACATCATGCCGTAGACTGTTATTGACAAAGTACCGTGCTGCAAACTTTGCTATGGACAAAAAATCGTGCCGCGGGCTTTGCTATGGACAAAAAATCGTGCCGAGGGCTTTGCTATGGACAAAATAAGAGGCACAATTTCTAATGGAAAAAATGTTTTGAGGCAGAATTTTCAAAGGACAAAATGTCGTGAGGCGGAATTTCCGAATCACAATATACCAAAATCGGAATTTACCCATGGATGCTAATATTAGCATATACAGTGATAGCATTTAAAATGCATTCACTGTAGAACTTCATACACTCAAGATTTTATCATAGAATCAAGCTGTGGGTGATCAAGAATTTTTCCTGAACGACTTATAGATATTAATAATTCAACTTACCTCTGTACCATCTTCTCCAAAAACTGGAAGCCAATTTTTATTATCAGGACTTGCAATGACTCTGAAAGAAGTCACCCAATTATCTTCATCTTCTCTACCTAAGAAAAGAAATGAACACTGCAAATAATACCATCTAACTTTGAACAAACAGTACATCTGCAATGTTGAAAATGTTTATCAATCATAAATTACATATCGGCCAATTTAAATTTTGTTCGTGTAAGAGTTTTTTGTAGTAGCTAGAGCATTTACAGATGCTCTTTAACGTTCCCTGAATGCCATTACATAAACAACAAATATTATACTACGAATATTATCAAGAGCGTTAAGTGCAAAGATAAGAACATTTTTAAAAAATCCTAAAAGTTTTAAAATTTGGCACATTAGGTGAATTAGGTACATGTAAATCGTAGGAGCTGCTGTTTTGGGTACTCATTTTAATTTTACAGTTTGTTTCGCCGAGCAAAAAAATTTAAAACCTAGGCAATAAAAATTAGAAAAACAAATGTGAATAAAAATGCACAAGGAGTACTGTGGAATGATGAAAAATAACATTCGATGATTTGTTCGGCAGTTATGAATTCTTAACTCTTTAACGCCGAATTTTTATTTAACTTATTTTTCATTATTTTGTATCGATTTAGGTCCAAATAAGTGAAAAATATTGTATTTAGCATTTTAATAACTTATGGTTATAAATAACAGCATGACATACCGGTGCCTTTTTCTGATTTAAAAGGTAAAATCTTCCATACACGTCTCACTTTCAAACAATAAATTCAAATATTTACTTATTTACAATTTTCAATTATTTACAGTTCAAATTTTCACTTATTTACAGTTATTTAAACAAAAAAAAAATTTTTTTACTCATCATTGAAATTTCTGAAATTTACTAAATCAACTGATTAATATCTTTATATGTATAAAAAAATTTCAAACTACTTTTTGTATTTTAGTACAAATATAATTCCGATAATCTTAACAGATTTTTTAGCAGCTAATAGATTTTTTTATAACTAAGCAACATCAAAATTTTACTCGTAATTAAAGTGTCAGAAAAAACATATGTAAAAGGGACACCGGTGTCCCATCTACGATAACGGGTTAAATTTGTAGTTAAAAATACCTAGCGGGTTGCTCTGCGGATAGAATTAAAGCTACAGAGACTACTTTTTTATTATAAGTAATTAATTTATTTTACTATTGTAGGAAAAAACAGGGATAAAACAAGAGAAAAACACGAGGCTAGGTTATCGGAGCCTCCTAGTAATTAAAAAATAACTCAGTTTCATTAAGGAAGAAGAGTGAAAACTTTTCCCCGAATGATTCAAAAAAGTACCTTTAACTTTTGTAACACACTGTAATGTGCTCAAAATACCGAGTTTGTCACCAAGTCACCCATATTTTGAGCATACTACAGTGTATTGAGTACACTGTGTTAAATAAAAATTTATTTAAGTACCTAATCCTAAGGATTATTTGCTTCTTCAACTTCAACTAAAAATAACTAGAAATATAATATAATTATATTTTCAACTATCGTACAAGTTAGTTCCTATGTAAATATTCTAGTTTTAATTGCAATTGTAAAATTTTTTACATTTGATTTTGATTTACATTTGAAGGTCTTATTAAAATAGTGGCTCAACTCCACAAATTAAAAAAAAAATCCATGGTATTAGTTCTATTTTCATGTTCATACAATATTCATGTATGAACATGAAAGTAAAGCTAAGACCATCCTAATACTAATACCAATGCGTAACGCTAATACCAATGTTCACATTCATACAATTCTATATTTAAATCTCGAACAACTCCAAACTATTTCTACTGTCAAATAGAAGGTGTGCCGAATTAATTTGCACAAGGTGCTTTGGCGCACATTCCAATGTAAAAGGAGCGAAGTAAGCAGCTACCGGCTGCCTCCCCTAAATTTGTTGTAATACAGTTGTAGTCGTGATTGTCATGTAAAAGGATTGCCTGCGGTCTTCCGCAGCTTGTGTGAACTTACCTCTGTTATGTAAATAAATGTTATTATTGTTATAGTTCATCGTAGTTACCAGTCGATTAAATGAAGCAGATTTGTACTTGGGTGAAAAGCATCCAATAATTCTTCCTCGGCGTAGTAAATTTGCCGAGTTGCTTGTGATTAGGGAACATGAACGTATTGCTCATTGTGGTGTATCGGCAACTTTGACTCAAATTCGAAAAAATTATTGGATACCTAAATGTCGTCAGCTAGCAAAATCAATCATTCGGCTTTGTCTCATTTGTAAAAAATATAATGCCANAAAACTCGAACAACTCCAAACTATTTCTACTGTCAAATAGAAGGTACCACAAATTAACCAAGGCATAAACAAAGTCATTTACACCTATTTTTAAAGTCTAACGTTCGTTAGACGCTAAAGCTTTGTATTTAAAAATGATCAAAGGTGGAGTTGGACCACTATACAAATAAAACAATCATGTATAATTTTAATAACATGTACTTGATTCCTTCAAATTCTTAACACTATAATAAAATAGAATATTTGAGGTGGGTTGCTAAATGTATATCAACCAAATTCACAAAAAAAAAATTCTAAAAGTTCTTAATCTAATTAATAGCATATCGAAAAATAAATCAAAACACAATTTAAAAGTCAAAATCAATATTATGCAAGAACACAAATATGCACAGGTATCATATGTTATATGTCCTGATCAGTTATTCTATTGATCATCTAGTTAATGTCCAGATTAACTAGGATAATCCATTTCCAAAGATTTGTTTCCTTTTTTGCATTACCTAAGTAGTCTGCAAACTACCTAGATAATCTGCAAATTACCTATTAAGTATTCATTAAAGTGAAAAGTAGATCTTTACTTGAACAACAGCTTTACCTGTACACTTAAATAAACATAATGTCTTTTATTTATTTTTGATTATCTGAAAAATAAAGTTACTGTAATCAAACAATAAACACATCATTTGATAGACCCAATTATCAACCACTTAAAAAACTATAATGTAAAAAATCAAACGGCTTAAAATATTATTGCCATTAAGGAAATTCACCCCTTGCCAGTGTCGCCCGCATCTAGTTCGGACAACTACTACGTGCAGCAGAAGAAAAACTAACGTTTCTATTTTGTGAAACCCAAGCTGATATCGTTTCTACTTTAGGATACTTAATTCACTATTTTCCTAATAGATGGCATTAGTGGTCCTAGTTTTTCACTGATTACGAATTCAGTCGAGGGAGGGAAAATGTGGGTGTTGTCAGCTGTGGATGTGGGATATACCATACTGTAATAGATTTGTAAAATTTATGTATTGAAAATCATATTGTTGTGTTTTTTTATTTTATATTATACTAGTTATATTATATTTAGTTTCAAAATTTTGTTTAATTTGCTCTAATTGAATAAGATGAGTGTGTAATTCATTACTTTTTTATGTCTAGGTAAAAATTATAAATACAGTAGTTATTGCGTTTAAACTTTATTTTTGTAATAAAAAACCATTTTCTAACTTTCACAATAATATACAGAACAAAATCAAACAGTCAAAAAAAATTTCCATTTTTGGTTCATTTTTCTGAATTAAGGGGTTAATATGTCAATTATTTATTTTTCAATATTTCAAGGATCAAGTAAATGAAATAAAAGAAATAAACTTTTGAGCAATGCGGAAACCGTTTAAGCGCTCATTACTTAGGTGAATTTCGGAAAACTCTTGATTCCACGCTCTAGTGGATTACCCTAGTTAATCTGCAATTTAACAAGGATAATATGCTTATTAACGACTTCCGAACTTTAGCGGTGACGTATAAATTGAATCTTTATGTATAGAAATTGATTGAAATATTTAAAAAAGTCAAAAGGTTTAACAGAATCTATGTATGGCCTACTTTAAGAACTTAAATTGAAAAGAATACCAGTTGACATACGAAGCCGAATTAAAACACACAAGTATCCAATGAGAGAATCACGAAAGTAGTTCGGAGGTTTGTTGAGAGCAGTGAGGTTTTTGTTGGCCCTCCTAGTTCTTTAAACTACAAAAATCTTACCTTTTACGTGAACTGAAGTGAGCATCTCCTCTTGTGGGAACTCTATGAGTAAATATGGATGCCTATCCTCCACTCTGGGTACCCAACCCCCTTTCAGTCCATTCGATCCCCGAGTTTTAAAGGGTAGTCGAGATTCATCTCCTCCTGGTACAGACGAAGACGCTTCAATTCGAGATTCTTGAAGGATCGACTTCTCTAGTTCTTTTCCATTCGAACAGGCAAAAGCTATAATATTTGTTACATATTAGATAATCATGATCGCGGATCTTACAATTTTAAACAAGGGTGATGAAAAAGCATCTATGTTTTAATACACTTATAATAACCACAACGCACTATTTTTCGAAGGAAATATGCAGGGGTTAAGTAGAAATATAGGGACACTTCTATGCTAACTAGAATTAAAAAAAATTCCTTTATAGTTTGCCTATGTAAAGAACTCTCCTAGCCGTCTGAAGTAGTGGTAGTGACTATGGTTACGAGGTCAAACCATTTCAAGTAGGGGTGTTGGGTCATTATTTGTGATAGGGTTTTGCTCGGATCGTCGAGAGAAAGGGAGTCAGGGGAAAAAGAAGTTCCCCTCTTTGAAATGCGCTATTTCTTGTTTCCATTACAGTAAACGGACTTCAACTTCGTGGCGAGGGGAGTTCTTTCTAAAGACAAAGTATTGTAGCTAATGTTTTGGAAGGTTTTATGTAGCAAAACTGTAGGCAAAATTGTAAAAATCATGATTGAAGCTTTTTGAAATAATGTAATTTTTACCATGCGAAATTCGAATCGACCAAAGTATATAAGGAGAGAAATTTAACTTATTTATAGCTTTATACCAAAAATTTTTCTGTGCAAACATACTACGAAATTGAGCATAAACATACTATGTTTTAAAAACATACTATGAAATTGACAACTCATAAATTTACTAAGAAACTGATAAATTTTTAACTGGTAAAAACTGATAAATTTGTCACCATCATGTTAAAATCGATAAGTTAGTTACTGTGTTAAAACAGATAAATTAACTATCATGTTAAATTTGAAAAAATTATTACCGTAAGGGAGTTCATCAAGTTCATCACGAACCTTATCTGATTCCATGGTAGATGACGCTCCTGAAATTGTAAGAGAATGTGGTTTTTTAGAAACATTTAAAGTAAAAATTGTGAACAAAAGATATAATGCAACTAAATTTTATATAATCCCTTTATGCTCAACGTCCCATAAAAGTGAGGTATCTATTTTCAAAAAAGTGTAGAAGTAATACAAGTGTTTATTATTAGAATTTTCTTTGCAGATTCAAGATAGTTCTGTCTACTATAGTATATTTATATAAATCTTTATTTTTGTATTTGAATTCAAAGCACACTGCTTCTTTTAAGGCTGAGGCGGTAGGTAACGCAATAAAACTTCCACTTGGGATAATCAAGTATCTACTACTACTTTTTTTTCACTTCTTTGTCAACTCTTAGCTATTGATAAATCAGATATATTGCGCAAAAAAGAGAAAAATACAGGAAATTCCTGAATTAAGAATGGAAAACCACACTAAAATAGTCGTAGTTGTATATTTAAAATTCGATTTTTCTGGAATTATTCGACTGATTACGTTCACATTTTCTATTTCGCCATATAAAGTTGCATTTTTTAAACTGATGTAAAATTTTTATATGTTACAATTCAAATTTTCTTTTACTATTACTAAATAAAACAATAAAAGAATAATAACTAATTGTTCACAATCAATACCTTTTGCTAAGAATTATCGATGGACGAACGAGCTTTATGATTGTGTGCAAAAATTTTCAATTCGCTCGAAAAGATTTCGAGTTATAGCGAAATACACAAAGAGTAACAATAAGAAGTCCGAACTTTCAAACGGTTTCCTGACCAAAATATTGAGGCCATATTTTTAAGATTGTAACTATCTTCCATATTTTGAAGGTCAGGAACTCAAATCCGTCGAGAAAAAGACATGTTTATTCTAAAAAGGTATGTTTTTGTGATTGATGACCCAACTTAAAGTAACGTCTGCACAAATCAATTATCATATTTGAGTTCACCTCTTTAAACTATTAAGAATGAGTCCCTTGTTCGTGAAAATCCTACGATTAGATCAAAAGTTATTAAAGGTGTTCATTTTTTCCCTTCTTTTTGCTCTCTGTAGATGAATGTTAAGCTAAGACTTTCATTTTAGATAATTTTTATGAAGAAAGTTGGCTTATGCGTTAACTGATTTCCTCTTTAAGAAAGCAGATTACGTTGCTTTATCGTCAGTTCGTTCAGTTTTAGGATAATTCTCATTTTTCGTGTTATTCCGTCATTTACGACATGTTTCTTATTTTATTTATTTAGTATGTGATAATTATTTCCTGCTTTATTATATATTTATTTATCTGAGGAAAAAAATGTTTGCAAATAATTACCATAAGGAGATTGCGTAACTTCCAAAACCAAATCACGTGATGGAATAGTTTGTGTCTGGGTCTCTATGGTCAAGGAGAAAAGGTGATTTTAGAATTTAAAAAATGCATTTGAAATGAAATTAATATTTAGAATGCTAATAACAAGTGTACAAGTAAGCATGATTTAAATTATAACAAGGAAGACAGAAAACAGCTTTATATCAATGAAAGAACGGACATACATTTAAAGCAGCATTACTATTCTAATGAAACATCACGTGCCGATAGTTTATGCTTAAATATAACCTATCTTTAGAACACTCTAATCAATAATAAAGTGACTGATGGGTCTTTAATTATAGGCTCGTATTTTTGTGCTGTTAAAGTTTTTCATGCCTGTCCTTTAATAATTTTTCGTCTTTCTTACTCATACAATAATCAATGATAATTGCCTAAATTTGACGAAATGTTTGCTTACAGCTTTTACAAAGAAAGTGTTTAGTCAAAAACTTAACAAATTATCTTGAATTTGGTCTACTTGTTACAGATCAAATGTAAATATCAATCAATTTTGCAAATTATTAAGGCAATGTGCATATTAATTAGGATGGTCCGCTATAGTACCGAAAATTGTTTTATTTATCAAATCACCAAGGTAATCTGAAATTATCTTCAGATTACCAATTAGGTAATTGTTAATTTGTTCATTACAAATTAGATAATAGTTAAAGCGAAAATGAAAAATTTGCTCTGCTAGCAGCAACGTTTCTGTATACACTTAAATTTTTAGATAACTAAACAATAAAGTTAATATCAAACAACCAACAAATTAGTTGATGGAATGGGAGAAACAAACTTTTAAACTTTGAGGGAGTCGTTATCGTGCACATTACCCAGACAAAATGCGAGAAAATCTTGATTCAGTCAATAAGCAAATCACACAAGTTTTCGAGATGTATAGTAACATACACTGTATAAAAAACGTGTGTATTCATTGCATGAGCTGTCTCCTTGATTTATATCAGATCAATACAAATAAGTTAAACTTTAAAATTAATTAAGTGACACAGTTTCTGGTTTACCATATGGATGATAACAGCCAAGGATTTCTGCTCTCAAACTGATCCATTCCTTCCAATCTTTTGGAATAATTTGGATGAGTTGAGCAGACACAGTGTGAGGGAAGACATTTGTAACTGGGGAGTCATTATCGGTATTTCCAATAAAAGTCTGAAAAAGTAACAAAAATGAATAACATAATATGTTGAAATGTAAAATAATAATATTTGTAGGGTTCACGCCAGTGTGGCGACAATTGTTGCCAAATGCTCTACGAGTGTCGCTGAAATTATACGCATGGGCGACAAATATGTCACCTTCAGATATGCTTGGAATTTACAAAACAGTAACGCGAAAACTAATTTTTTTGTGCTTCGAGTTCCATGCATTTAAAAAAAAAATGTAACAATTTTTATTTGTTCAACGCGTGGTATGCTATGCAAGTGCGTAGTATTCAAAAAGAAAAACAGAACGTCTCTGGTACAAAAGTTTTGTAAATTTAAACGTACAAATTTTAAATTTAAATTTCTTGCAGTGTTCATGTACTAACAGTATAACCGTTCATCAATAAAATAATATTTCTTGCTCTTCCAGAATTGATTTTATTTAAAATTTTATAATTTTCAGTTAATTCATTTTAAATGTAATATTTCGTTAATTCTTACTTTCTCTGTTTTCTTTCTTTCTTTCTTTATTTAGTCAGAGCATTTTAATCTTTATACTGAATTTATTTACTAATATTGCTTCAACTTTTATATACTTAATTTTAATAAATACTGATCTTCAATCATTATGGGCAAAAAAGCCTAATTTGTTTTAGAATGTTATAGATGACAATTAACTAATCTGTCGTGGCTGGATGTGGAAGTTTGAAGAAAGGTGTACCAGCTCAGGCACTGTCCCCGTCTTCTGACGTCATTAAATTATGTGGTTTTCCTGCCATGACTGCTAAAAGATAGAGCTCTGAAAAACGGGGCTAGGGGCTTGGTCATGGATGGGCGGTGCGTGCTTTTTGGCCAAATACTGTGAAATAGAAAAATCTGAGAAGAGCTTTTATGCAGAGTTGAACAAATTTAAAATCATTATTTATCTAATAATCGATTTAAACCTATTTTAAGTACACAAACGTTTGATTGAAATGCCTCAGTTTTATAAAATTCAGTTATAATCAAATATAAATCTGATTTAAATGAAGTGACTATTTAAAATCCTTTTACTATTGGTTGGCCATTGCCGTTCTTAATTGAATTCCAGTTTTTTTCGTCATCACTGTACATGATTTCGAACGCTGATACCCATTCTGGCTTATCCGCAGCTCCTTTAGTCACAACAGCAGAAATATTTCTTAAATCATTGAAGTCTATCTAAAATAGAAAAAAAAAGAAACATATATAGAATTACCAAAATAAATGTGTGATTAACAAAATAATGTTGCATTAGATTTTCGGCAATCTAAAAAAAGAATTACTAAATGTTCATGAATGACTAATTTAATGAAAGAAAGATACCAAATGTCTAATAATATAGCGCGAAAATAACGTACCAAATGTTTACACATTTTAACATTAAAATTTGGTGTTAAATTTTCTATCCTAAGGAATAAAAATTAGAGGTCTAATATTAATATTAGTATTATAGCAAGGCGGCCAACTTTCTAACTTTTTGTAAAAAAATATTTTAAAGGTAGCTATGTTTATGTTTTGATGTATTATTTTTTATTTATTTAAATTTATTTTCCACACTATTACATATAAATAATTTAAAAGTTTAGATGCAACGTCACTTTTGTCCAGTTCTTTAGTGGAAAAACTTTTAAAATGTTGGCAAAATTACCTGAAATTCTGAAAACTACGATTAAAAACATTTACCACATAAAATATTTTGCACAAGGCGTAGTAGTTGGCCGGCCTGTTATAGTATAGTAGTGTGACTAATACTATAATACTAACATTAGCATTCCAATATAAGTCAAATATTCCATATATTTGTTTGAAAAAAGTCGTTTTAATTAGGATACCACTCACTTGTAAATATTGACTGTCATCAGCTACAGCCGCTGACCATGATGTATCACTATTCAGCCGAGCATTCCACGGTTTCGTGGTGTCTGATTTGAACGAAGAAGATGTGATAAGGCCATCTTCTATCATCCCTTTATCCAAACCCATAGGTTCCATACAAACTATAAAAGAGAATAAGAGTACAGAGTGTTTTAAAACGACCAGCATGTTTCAATTTTATTTATTTTTAATTCTGTGGCCTATAACTTTAATAATTGACAAATTTCCTAGTTTTTTGATGGCTATGATTTAAAAGTAGGCGTTACTTTTCAAAGTCTGACAAATTTATTATATTGCGATTAGGATAGGGAGAAAAAGTAACGCCCTATTTTTTCACGGAGTAAATTTTTATTAAAAATTAAAAAAATAAAAATAAAGATTAAGTCGGCTGGTTTCTGAGTAAAAATATGAGCTAGTGATGCTACGGCTTAAGATCAATATCTGAATATTTTATCTTCTCCACATTATTGATTCCATCTTGAAAATACTGAAGTGGGAGGGGTTTAAATTGCGTAACTACTTTAAATTTCTAACTGAAAGAACATTACACATTGAATGTAGCAAAAACAAACTATTTTATAAACTATGACATATATAATTGAAATAAAAGGAAAAAGCAAAAGGTCAACGAGAATTCTTTTAGGGTTCAAGACTATTGCCTATAGAATCAGTAATTGACACATTTCCGAGTTTGTTAATAGCTATGATTTAAAAGTAGGCGTTACTTCTCAGAGTCTGAAAAATTTATTAGATCGCGATTAGGCATGCAAGGAAAAGTAACGCCCTGTTTTTTTTTTCCAGTGCAGATCTTTTTTTCAAAATAAGGAAAGATCAAATAACTATGGTTTCGGAGTAAAAAATAAGTGATGCAAAGTTTTAGGACCAATATCTGAATATTTTAAGTTTATCTTCTCCAAGTTATCGATGCTATATTGAAAAAAAAATGAGATGGGAGGGGCTTGCACGAGGCGGAAAGTCGAAAAAAGAGGTCTTGTTTTCAATACCGTGAATCGAATGAAACAAGATCTTTACTTGATAAGACAATAGTTAACATACGAACATAACATATAGTTAATATAATATAAAAACATAGAGTTTTAGGAGGGCATTTTCCACCCGAAACGTCAGATGGATGGAAATGGAAGAAGAAAAATTTAAATACACTGTTTGGAATTACCATAGTTCTAAAGTAACCAGATTTATAAACCAAGATTTGATGACAAATCAGGGGAGAGTCCTCGATAAATGTTTCGATTCGAGCATACCCATATATTTACGGAAACTATAAATTTATATGTGTAACAAGGATTTTTTTATTTTTACAAATTGATAACTAATAAGTTCAGTAGCATTTTCATAAGACTTGATTTCATTACTAAGTGTTGAAATATATAATATTCTCTTTTTGTACACAAGTTAAAAGAATGAGTATATGATAATTAAAATTTATTTTTTGCTGAAATTATTTTAAGATGAGTATGGCGTTTTCATTGTATTACTGTTATCTTGTTAGTGTATCTGTTAAGACAAAACAATTTGTTTTGAAAAAAACATGCAAATTCTGAATTTTTTAATATTTTACATATAGCTTATTAAAACAACATATAGCTCAGTGGTTTCCAACTGGCGGCCCGGGGGCCGCATCCGGCCAACGAAGCCTTTTGTTGTGGCCCGCGAATTAAAATATATTAGTTGTATTTTTTTTGCGGACAATTTTCGTAAAATATCTATATGGGTTTAAAATACTTTTCTCGTTAATAAAAACCTTAATTTCTTCGTTTCTGTGAAATTTATCATACCAACGGTGCAAAAAAAATTATTTCTCAGGTTTTGTATCCAAGAAAATATTCATTCAAATACAAAAATAATCGTGTATGTTGTTCTTTTTCATTTCTTTTTTTTGTATTTTGGGAATATAATTTTGGAATATAATTATATGTATCAGAAATTTTCTCGAAGAAATTCTCCCTATTTAACTTTTTGAAACCACTCATTTTGGACGAAAATATTTACACACACTTTTGTAAATTTAAAATTTAAATATGTATTCTCTGGTGATTGCAGCAGACAAACCTCAATTTTGTCATTTAACATTTTGTGTGTTACTATGTAAGTTTTAATACCAAACTTTTTAAAGTTTTCTATCTTAACAATTAGATATCTGTTGCACATTAATTGTTTAATACATGGGTGCATATTAAAGTTATTGTAGCCAGGATTTTTTAATATGCAATTAAATATTTTTAAAAATCTACTTCTTATTTTAATTTGTAATTCAATACTTTTGTTTTGTACAACTTGGTAAAAATCTGACAGTAATATTTAACGTTCCTTCAAACATAAAAGAGTCCTACATAAAATTTTGATAAAGTTGCGGCCTGCCATTTGATTTGTGTTTTTAATTGTGGCCCCCGTCCTCATTTAAGTTGGAAACCCCTGAATAGCTTATAAAAAAACTATATGTTTTTAGAGAATTTCGAGGGCATTTCGGAACACATGTTTAAATTTTGATATATTTTCCATCCTTAAAGAGTTTGAAATTTTTCGAGTATAACAGAGATGCCAACTGCTCCGGGCACGCCAAAATAATTAAAAAAAAAGCGGTAAATAACTGCAAAGTAAATTTTGCAAATATTTGACGATTTTTGCTTGCTTTTTAAAAGGTATAGCATGACACAAGTGCTTGTCTTGTTGGTAGGTCGGGGTGCCTAAGGCCGAGATGGCCCTTTACCCGTTCATCATGAGATGAGAATCGATGAGGTGAAACACTGAGGTCAGGAGCATAAAGCTAAAGATGAGATGGGGGGGGGGAAATGGCTCATTGCCATGGTGAGGAAAAGCTGTGAGATGACTTGAAAACGAGTTGAGAGTAATCAACAAAAATGAAGTCCACTGTGCTTAGCTCTCGATTAGACAATTAACAGCTCCAGTCTCCGCTAGTAACTAAACGACATAAGTGCTACTGGATGCTGGATATTGGGGTTATCTCGGCGTTTGGCGCGAAGCGCCACTAACCGATTCATCGATTCTGTTTTGTTGTATTCTGGGAGGTCCTATATATCTTTGAAGTTGTAGTATGTTGTAACAACAAGTCAAGTCCTTAAAGAGGCAAATCTTTAGTTTTGAAGGGAAAATCATCTTTGGAATGGGGAGATCCCCTTGAGTTGAGTTGTATGATCAAGTTAATAGTATTTTAATAGTATGCAGTCTGAGCATAAAAAGGCGGTAATTGGGCTGAAATTCGAATTATCACGGATTATATCAATATCGAACAATTTATTGAAATCTGATGTGGTGCATGTTTTTGCGTCGCTGTAAAATTTTGTGGTCAATTTAGCTATAAAGCAATTGATATCATCAATGTTTAAGTCTTTTCTGAGTAATCTATTGCTAATCGCCCTTGGGGCGCCAGTCATTGTGCGTAAAAATTTACCTTCAGTTGTAGATAGCTTCTTTTTTGGTTCGTCTGNTGTATGATAAAGTTAATAGTATTTTGATAGTATGCAGTCTGAGCATAAAAAGGCGGTAATTGGGCTGAAATTCGAATTATCACGGATTATATCAATATCGAACAATTTATTGAAATCTGATGTGGTGCATGTTTTTGCGTCGCTGTAAAATTTTGTGGTCAGTTTAGCTATAAAGCAATTGATATCATCCATGTTTAAATCTTTTCTGAGTAATCTATTGCTAATCGCCCTTGGGGCGCCTGTCATTGTGTGTAAAAATTTACCTTCGGTTGTAGATAGACATAAGTGCTATAAAGTGGTGAATTTTATAAGCCTACAAATTATTTAGAAATGGTGGTGGATAAAAATCTACAAAATTGAATTTATTAAACCAAGAGTCACAATTGATTAACTACCACTTTAAACTATATATTTGCTGTCTGGAGCAAGTTGGCATCTCTGGTATAATCTAGGAGATTCGAGGACTGTTCTCAAGATTTGAGGACATCTGCTCACCTTATATTGGGAGATATTGCTCAGCACTAACTTTCCCACTGCCAGAAACATTGCAAAAGGTGTAAGACCGGAATGGTCAGTATATAATCTGACAAAATATTTATTTAATGTGAGAAAATCATTTTCATTTTTATAAGGAAAAACGACATTACTTTCCGAAACTCCAACAGTAGAGAAGTCTTATTAATTGGTTTTATATAGATTACTTATCAGAATTTTAAAATGTATTTGACTGTCAAGATTTTTTTTTCTTTTCTTTTTCTTTCTTTTTTTTTTACAATTGAAAAATAAGATCATATATATTGGATTATATTTCTTTCAGACTAATAGTAAATAGTGATGAACAATTCATAATTAAAAAAAGTAAGAACTTATTACTATTCTTTAATTGCAGCTAAAAAATTCAATAGTTTTACTACCAGATTGTTCTTTTTACCGTCTCCCAACTTTATTCAAGTCCATTGAGTTAAGTCGATTATTTTCTATCCAAACTAAATGAGCTCCTTAATATAGGTCACTAGAATTCTACGAGAAATAATGTGTACGGAAAATGACATCATCTCTTCTCTTGGCTATTCTGAACTAAGTTCTGAGTCGAGAGTAGGCGTTACTTCTTAGCTCCACCTCCTCGGACGAAGAGTTCATTTCAGCACGGGAGTAAGAGGAAAAAACGTCTCTACGCTTGAAATTGAAACAACCCTTTAATGCGAGCCAAACGCAAACCGTGAATTCTTTTTCAGTCCCTTATTTCGCTTTATCATCCACTATTATACCTTTCGTTACTCTAGCTAATTAAATATATTGCAGCAAAAAGGACAAACTATTCACTCAAAAGAGCGAAATATCAAATTTATGAAATACTTAATGTTAAAAAAATTGCACATAAAGATTGCGAAATAAATATTTTTGTCATATGATCGCCAAATAGCAACCCTGTTCAGGATTGTTCACATCCTTCTCTCAAAAATAGCGAAATAGTATCGTCGGATACCACGTGATGAAGATGGTGCCAAGTGCCAACTCCTGGTGAACGAACTATACTTACCCTGAAGAAGCTATCCAGTTGCATGTTATTTATAAGATAGTCAAGTATTGTTAAGTTGCGAATTACGTCAAAACATTAATCAAGGCAAGATATATTAATTATTGAAAGTAATGCTGGGCCGACATTCTTTAATTAGAAAAAATTATCTTTTACGTAAAAGATTATTTAAGAATGAAATTGAAATAAATACATCCAACTATGATTTTGATTTAAAATAAGCTTGGGAATTAATTGCAAATTATTTACTCTCTCTCATTTTTTTTCAGACATAATTTATATCACAAGTTGATTTCACTACATTGAATAAGTATTATACTTTCAATCAGTATTTTACGGTTTTTTGATGAAATTTTTATAAACTCGACGAGATACATAATATATCCCTTATCGGAATTATAATTTGCTAAGGCATGTTGGAGTATATAATTTGAGAGCTTACGAACATATACATTATTTTTCATTGTAAATTTTTAAAGTTTTGTTTAATAGTTTACCTTTATCTTCAGAACAGCCCAAAACTTCTAATCTTAAGCCAATTTGTTTCTCATAGTCTGTTGGTTTAACACGAAGGAATCGAGCAAATATGGGAGCTGGAAATATGTTTGTAACTGTTGAATCGCTATCATAGTTGGCTTTAAACTCCTAAAAAATGTATTAAAATCATGTTAATTACTTGTATAATTTAAGAAAATTTTGCTAAGTACAATAAATCAACTTATCATTTGTACTACACTGAGTAAGATGACGAAGTGAATATGGAAATATTTTTCGATCTAATGATTGGGTTTTGATGTGTTAGGACCCAATCTTAATAGTTCTTTGGGTCTAGCCTTAATTATGCTAATTAATCAGTGCAAACACTTTTTTTAGTAACGAGATCAGACAAAAACATTTTTACTGAATAAACATGCCTTTTTTTTTCCTCAACAGAATCAGAATTTTAATCTTCAAGACATGAGTGCTAGTTGAAAAGCGTAAAAAGTATGTTCCTTATAGTTAGGCAAAAAAGTATTGGAAAGTTTGAACCCCTTAATGTAAATATTACGTTTGCATTTTTCGACATACCTCAGCAACTTATTAAACTAAAATATTTTGCTTGTTTATCCAAAGATAATTCGGTATCATTTTTTATAATTTTTTTATAATTTCTTTATTGTTTTTTCAATTATTAATTTACTAATAAACAAAAAATTTTGAACAGCATGATATATAAATTTTGGAGTCCATCTAATCTACAAAAGTTTAATTGACGAAATTCAATACGTAAATAGCTAGCTTTTGAAAAATAATAATTTCAATTCTAGCTCTCTTCATCCCAAACTATTGAGACTATATTTACCATATTGCAGCTACCTCATTCTGAGGATCAATAATCCACAATTTTTTTTAAATTTTATTTTATCACCGTAGTTGAACTGCCGACTCAAATCCGAGTTTACGAGTATCAATGTTCCATAACCTTGTAATTTTGAAAACGTTCCAGAAGGCAAGAGAACAATGCTCCATAACCTTGTAATTTTGAAAACGTTCCAGAAGGCAAGAGAAATTCTAGATCAAGCACAGGGACAAACTAGCCTTCGTGGAGAAGGAACTTTTTAGATGGAATTAACCCGTATTTGCATTACATGAAGGGGAGAAACACGATAACCTTACACAGTGAGCCCTCTACCACTGAGGATATTTTACGTCAGTATTGTGGTCTGCGCGAACCATGTGCGGAATTCGTATCGACCTGCCATCATTGGGATTCGAGCCCGGGTCACCTCATTGGGAGGCGAGTGCTCTATCCCCTGAGCCATTACGGCTCAAGAATCTACAAGAGATTCTTGATATATATGATAGACATTAATCTATCTGTCGAGAAAAGGATTGTTTATTCAGAGAAAGGGCGTTTTTGTCCTAATTGTCTTTTGAACTAATTAATTAGTATGAATTCAGTTTAACTCTCGTGCTATTAAGACTGAGTCCTAGTATAAGTAAATCCGAACATTGCATCAACAACTATTAAAGTGTTTTTTTTTTTTTTTTTTTTTTTTTTTTTTTTTTTGCTCTCTTCTTCAATTTTTGCGCATATAATACAAAAATTTTAATTATTTATTTATTCTTGTTATAATCATAACATTAGTTGACACTTCTATATATAACAGCATGAAAATAATGGTATATTCATGAATTTAATCACTACATGAGAGGCATACGGATGTTAATATTTTTTTTTATCAACTATGTGTCGTAAAAAATATAGTTTCACAAAACAATATTAAGTAGGTTTTTATGTGCCAAGTCATGTGTTTAACTAAAAAACCAATAGAAACTTTTCATACTTATAAAAACATTATATACCATGAATTATCAAAGGAAACTACGTAATAATTATCTAAAGCAGCAGTTACCAATTTTTTTCTATCATTGGAACCCTAAAAATCAATCTTCCTTTTGCGGAATCCTAATTTTGTAAATAGATCTTATTAAGCTAATTGTGAACGTTATAACTTAAAAATATTATTTTGAAAATAATTAATTTGAGGAATGAAGATTTTTTCATCGTTTTATAATTAATGATCTTAAATTCAGTTTTCTGCTCGAAAATTTTAATTTGCAGTTCCTGTGCTTAATCTAGTTTAATCATAAATTTATTTTTGATGTATGCACAAAGATGAAACGGAATAAGATATTCTGAAATATGGTTTACTTCAGAATGAAAACTTTAAAAAAGCTGCTATAAATGTTGGAAATAGTTAATAGGAAAACATATTTCTTTATTAAAGTATATAGTTATTTTGATTTGAAAAGAGTAATATGAAATACTAATGCAATATTCTATTAAAGCTTGTTTTTTTCTCATAATTTATTCAATATTATTAGAAATATTATATTTATTCTTCAAAAAGACTATTTCTATTTCATTAGCATTTTAATTGAAGTTGTTTCCTGAAAGCAACCGAAAGAATAAATAAATCACTAATTATAGGTTTAATCTAAATATAATCAGAAGTTTCTAAACTCATCACTGGTTTCAAAAAAGTACTAACTCTCGGTATCCCTTTAATTTGTAGATGGAGCATCATTTGGGAACGGCTGATCTAAAGTAATGAAGTAATGAAGTAAAGTAAAGTAATTCCTCATTGATTATTAACGAAATTGAAATTTTTTTAAGAAAAGAATTAAAACTTAGATTTACGATTCGTTTAACCCTAATGAGGAACCGGTATTGACTAGTAATCTGTAAAAAAGATCAAAAATGAATGAGTTGATCAAAAATGAAAAACGAAGATCAAAAATGAAAGAACGAACGAACGAATGAATGAATGCAAATCTACAATGGTGTAAAACGGCTGGAGAATAAATAAAAAATATTGACCTTGAAACATCCTTTTTGTTTCTTTTTTTCTCGCTTCATTTAAGTTGAGTTTTAAACAATAAACCATTCAAGCATCCATAAGTACTAAGAATACAAAGTTCAGAAGCTGCACGAGTTAATATTCAAAACCAACGATTATTCGTCTAAAATAACCGATGGAGTTTCAAACAAAAACATTTGCGTCTACGTTTACTTTATATATGATAGACATTAAGAAAGTTATATTTTAATAGTGCTTTGATGGAGTGTCTAGACAAGCTACGTATCTTTAGCGTATTTAACTTTCTGACATATTTTGATGATTCTAACTTTTTTTTGTGTGATTGAAATGAGCATCAGACTGAATCCAAAATTTTTCGATCGATAAGTAATACTAGAGAAATAAAAGTTATTTCTGTATGGTCTAGTTTTAATTGATTTCATAAACGCGGATTTAGCTTCACGCATTTTGTTATTGATTCTATATAGAAATTAAATTTAAATCTATTAATTTTGCTTGCTTATTCCACCTAATCTTGTTTCAGACTTCTTTTTCCGTAAATACTCGGTAACTTTTTTTTTGTCAAAAATATTTGAAATAGGGTGCATAATTAATTCTTATTCTTATTGTTATGTATGCAAGGCTTTTTGGAAAATGTTTTAGGGTGTTCAGATTTTTTTTTCCCACCGCGAGACTATTGAAAACTATAGGGTAAGTTTCGAGACAATTGCAGCATATTTTATAGTGATTACTTTTTAAGACATGTGATAATTTTTTTTTTAAAAAATAAAGTTTTAGATGCCAAAAAAATCAATATTAATACTGTAAGACTTTTCTTTGTAAGCATTTTTTAAACTGTGGTAAATATTATAAATGTTCAGTTTTAAAATGAAGAAAAAAATTAAGAAAGAAAAGAGAGAAATATTGTAATTTTCAGAATAAAACACTTACAATAATTCTATATATATTTAGAAAAATAAAATGCACATGGGTGCACATGGGAGAGCCAATTTTCTAATTGCCACTTGTATTTTTAGTCATTTTGTGGTCGCTGGTATACCATTAATTTTGAACTACTATATTACAAACTAATATGAGGAAAATCTGATATTAATGAGAAAAAAAAAGAAATCCGCCTTACGGTAGATATTTATTAAATTCTTTTCTGCTTCTAGGCTACAGCGTGGAATTTCTGATTAAAACGTTCAAATAAACGGTTAAGGATTTCTGAACAACGGTGAACTTAAACTTGTTCGATGATTTTCTTTGAATTTTAAATTTTTATATTTAGTTCCTTCTAGTTAAGAATTGCAACACTGTAAAGCGATTTGTTTTAGGTTTTTGGTACTTGACTTTTTTTTAAACAAAAAATACTTAATTTTTCAGAATTATCTGAAAGATTTTAAAAATTCACAGAATTAATTGCAGAATTATCAAAAAAAAATCGATCGCAGAATTTATCTCTGAATAAATAAATAAAAATTTACAGAGTTCTTACAGAAAACAAAAATAATTACAAAATTTACAGAAAGAAATACAGACTTACAGAAGTAAATAGAGAATTTACAGAAAGAATAACAGCATTAGGGAATTTACAGAAAGAATTATGGAATATAGCTAATTTACAGAAAGAATTATGGAATATAGTTAATTTACAGAAGGAATTGCAGTATTAGGGAATTAACAGAGAGAATTACAGTATTAGGGAATTTACAGAAATAATCGCATGACTTAATAAGAAAAAATACAGATTTTTTAGGAGTAATAGAACTCGCAGAGAGAATCGAAGAATTTACTATAGAAAAAACTACAACGTTTATCGAGAGAATTACAGAATTTACTGACAGAAGAATAACATTTACAGAAGAAAGAATTTATTTCACAATTATTGAAACATTTACAACACCGGCGAATGTCTTACAGTAAAATATTTTTCGTTGTAAAAAAAAGAAACTTACTATATCATTTCCATGTTCATCTTTTAGACCATTCCAGAAAAGGCCATCGTCGCTGAAAGAAATAGTGTATGATTTCACCCATGCGTTAGCATCATTCCTGCCACGCGTCATCAAACCGGTTAAATTTGTTGGAATCAACATATCGACCTATAAACAAATGTAACACAATATAGGCTGCATTTGAAATGTTGTGTATCACATACTATAAACATAGAAAGGTAATATTCGTTTCCAATGGAGTTTTTTTTTTAAAGCAGTAATTATGCAATTTTACTATTCATATTTTTTCAAACCCTTTATCTGAAGAAATTAAAGTAAATAATGGAGTCAGACAGGGAGACTCCTTATCCTGTCTTCTTTTTAATGTTGCTCTAGAGAAAATTATAAGAGATGCTGAAATCAATATCAGGGGCAACATATTTTCAAAATCTATTCAAATATTGGCGTATGCGGATAATTTAGACATCATTGCAAGAACTGTTCCTGCATTAAAAGAAGCTTTCCTTTCTTTGGAGCTTGCTGCTAGGGATATGGGACTAATCATCAATACCGATAAGACCAAATACATGCCTGTACTTGCTAAATTAAATTTTACTGAATCCTATCTGGAGATTGGTTCCCACAGGTTTCAGACTGTTCAGAATTTTACTTACCTTGGTTCAATAGTTACTGCCGACAATAACATAGACAATAAGATTCGGAGTCGTCTAATTTGTTCAAATAAAGCTTTTTATGGTTTAAAACGTTTTTTCAAATCCTCTCTTTTATCAAAAAATACAAAACTTTTACTCTATAAAACATTAATTAGGCCAATACTTACCTATGGCTCTGAGACCTGGAACCTAACTCAAGCTGGTGAAAATAAAATTGCCATTTTTGAGAGAAAAGTTTTGAGGGCCATCCTTGGTGGGATAAAAATAAATAATTCCTGGAGAAGACGATATAATACTGAACTGTATAAAATCTACAGAGAGCCAGATATTGCGAAATTCATTAAAATACATCGAATGAACTGGGCAGCTCACATTTTCAGAAGGAATGATGACTCAAATTTAAAAAAAATCCAGTTACACAAACCCCTAACGAACAGGAAAAGAGGTAGACCCAGGCTGAGATGGCTGGATTTAGTTGAGACTGATTTCCTTACTCTAAATGAGAAAAACTGGCGAACAAGTGTCAAAAGTAGAGAGAAGTGGATTCGAATTAAAAGGAAGGCACTGGCCCACCCTGGGCTGTCTAGCCAGATATGATGATTTTTTCAAACCCTCTCTATGTGATTTTTACGACACGGTTTGATTTTGTACTCGTAGAGATTTGCTAAAAACTTTTGCACTGAGGTAGTACAAATTGGTCCCTGATTAAGATCAAATACTTAGGAATTTGCAAATGGTTTTCCTTAATCTATTCAAACATTATGAGGAAGAAGCTCTTTTTTCCCACCCCACATGCGCTGAGAGTATACGCACAAAAGTTTACATACACGTATATGTATGTTAGCGTTACTAATACGTATATCTCAGTACGTATTAGTACTCATATGTAAAAGTTACATATTAGTACTAATACGTATTGAGATCATGTTTGTGTGATCTAAGACCATAGAGTCGTAAAGACTCGTTTTATGATACTTACGGCCGTGAAGGGAAAATCACGTGATCATGGTTCTGAAAGAGTTAAGGCTGTTCTACGAAGGCTTAGTTGTCATTAAGGCCCAAATAACTTAATTCTAACTTGTTTGCGGGAGGGGTATAGTTTGTCTATGGTAAGAACTTCCCCCTCCACAAAGTCTGAGGCAGTATGTTGCTATGGAAATAAGAGTAGCGCATTTCAGGGAGAGTAGCTTCTCCTCACTGAAGGGCTAACATAATAGATCAAAGAAAAATATTCCGTTTCGCTCTCCGACCATACCGAGCCAAAATCTGTCCTAAAATTGAAACAGTTATACCTCGTTACCATAGTCTCCGCCATGGGTCCAGACGAATGGCTAGGGGAGTTCTTATTTTAGACAAACTATATAATACCTATGACAATCAAGACTTTAGATCAAGTGTAAATATAGCATGAAATTAAAATTTCGCTCTGAGTTTGAAGTTCTCAAAAGAAATTTTTTTATTTTCATTCATTTTTATTTTTTTAAAAAACATTTTTTGGTGAAAGAGGTGTGAAGAACACCCTTAATGCTAAATACATTTATAAACTCTAAAGAAAAGAAAATTTTATCTTCAAAATATTCGAACCAAACATTTCATTTCAACCAGAAAAACAAATGAAATATTTAATGAGATACAATTTCCATATATATGTCTAGTAATGATATTCAATATTTTAAATTGAAATGAGAAAATATGCTATAAATTTGCGAGCGTAAAAAGAACAAATATTTTTTCCTTCGCAACAAGTCAAAATATAAGACTCGCTTACCTATCACATAAATTTCCAGTGGACAGAACAGAATAGTAATGAATGATTAAATTTCAGAGTGATTTATTATTAAGTTTTGAATAGTAAATATATAATAATAAGTACTATTAGTTATTAATTTCATTTTGCATTTTTTTAAAACTAGTAGTGTATAGCCTATATTTGCACCGCTAATTAAATTTTTTGTCGAAAGTTCTGGTATTAAAAAAAGATAGAGGATCAATCTCGCATGTTATTAAATTGTTTATTACATTTGAAGAATTTTTAATCTTCCATTCAATTTTAAAATCATATGAATATCACTATTTTCTAATAACTCCTAGGAAGATATGTATTTTTTTTTAACAAAATGCAAACAATTTTGTGTAGCTTTTCGTTATATATTTGTAAATTTATAATATGTGATTTTTAAGTATTTCTTAATTTAAAATAATTGATCATTAATTTTTTCAAAATTAATCAAAATTAATTCATAATTAATGTTAAATTGATTGTTAGCTTTTAATATTTTGTAATGAAATCTCTATATTTCTTCATTCGATTATTAATAAACTTTTGTGTATTATTACGCCTCGCGTAATAATCACTCTCATGAGACTTAACATTACATTAACATAAGATTAAACATTAGTAGCACAAACATTCCATAAAAACCAATAATTTATGTTTTAAATGTTCTGATCCTAAACTAGAATTGCATAGTCTATAGCACAGTGCGCAAAAAAGTACAATGTATTGTACAGTGCGAAAAAAATAAACGGACCACCCTGAATAAATCTTTATCCAATGATCCGATCTTCACTTCTTAAGACTCAATTCTAATGATTCGATGAGGGTGACCTCAAATATGCTAATAAATTGAAACAGACGATATATTAAGTTGCAAAAGCGTGTTTTCTCTGAATAAACATACCTATTGTTTCTACAAATTCGGATTACTGACTCTCATAGTATAAAGGGTAGCTGTAATCTGGGAAATATGGTCCCAATAATTTGGTCTGGAGGTCCGTCCAAAGCTTGCACCTTTTAATGCTAATTTTACTTACTACATATTTCGTCATACCTCGAGAACTTTTTAAGCGAATTTAAAGATTTATGCACTAAATAATANGACCGGCGCGGCGAGAGATACTTCAAAGGAGTGAACCAGCCCTTCTATTCTCTTTAGCCCTGCCTTTTAATGCTAATTTTACTTACTACATATTTCGTCATACCTCGAGAACTTTTTAAGCCAATTTAAAGATTTATGCACTAAATAATAAAGTTTGTTTATCCATAGATAATTCCATTCATTAATGTAATGATTGAATGTTCCATAACGTTTAGTAAATATTTATTTTTTATCATTTTATTTAATATTAGTAGAAAATGTTGAATTGTAAGGTGTACAATTTTTTCATCGTTTTAAAGAACATAATTTTTTATAGCAAAATATAAAAAAAACGACATTGGTCGAACAGTTTCTGTAAAAATGATTTTGAAAAAGCCGTATTTTTAAAATTCGATTTCACAGGAACTATTCGACTGACTTCGCTCAAATTTTGTATTTTGCCACGTCAACTTACAATCTTTAGCATGATGTAAAAAATTATATACCTCACGATTCAAAGTTTTTTCAACTGTTATTAAATAAAAACAAATATTTATTAAAAGTTTTTTTTATGCATGAAATGTTCTTGCATAAACGAAATTTATAATTGTCCGCAAATTTTTTTCTCGAGATACGCTGAAACACGTAAGAAAGGAAGTTAACATTTAAGGGTTCGAACTTTGTACCGCTTTCCTCGCCAAACTATTCTGACTCTATTTCCCTGATTGCAGCTACCCTCTAATATTTTGGGGGTCATAAATCCAAATCTGTCAACACAAAAAAGTTTATTCAGAGAGAGTACGTATTTTATCTGGTTTTTAATTTTAAAAATCATTTGCTTTAATTAATTAACATATTTGAGATCACCTTGTGTGATCTGATCATTAGATCAAAAGTTATTTAGAAAGATCCGCTTTTTTGCACTCTGTACGCTATTGTAAATGTTATTGATTTAAATAATTTTTATACCCTTACTTAGTCAGCCTTGCCAGTTTTGTACCTTACTTAGCCTTATGTATACAGACTATACTATATATAAAAAAAATAAATAAAATAATATTTTTAAAAACCACATTTTTGTAGTGGAGAATAATAATTAAAAAGCAAAAATTTGAAAAACGAAAAACGTGGGGTGCATGAAATACATAACAGTAACAGTATGTGTGCTCATGAGAATATGTGTATGAATATCTGTAATTGTATCTGAATGTGGATGTGTATGTGGTTGTGCATGTGTATGAGTAAGACAATGTGTATATGTACTGTTATGTATTTCATGCGCCCCACGTTCTTCGAATTTTTGTTTTTTAATTTTCATTCTCCACTACAAAAGCGTGGTTTTTAAAAAAATATTATTTTTATTACTTTTTTTTGTACTCACTTCTAAAATCTCAAATCTTTCACTCACTGTACACAAAATTTTTCAACAGTCATGTGACACTAATTAGAAATAATCGAATCGACAACAAAAGACAATTGCGAAAATATTAATTTTTCTTTAATTTTATTTTGCTTTGTATGTCTTCTTTCTCTTCATTTTCATGCATTGTCATCCAATTCTAAACTACGTACCAAATTTGAAGTCTGTAGCTAGTCGGGAAGTTAGTTTAAAATCGATTACAAAATTCCACCCGAACAGACAGACATACACGAAGGCAAGTTGATATAAACGTGGTAAAAATGCAATAGTTCATTAACTCAATTTTCAACTCTCTCTTGAAATTATTTAGCACTATTGCAATAACTAATCACGAAGATCTATAATTAGACTTGAATGAGTCAATATTCCAATTTCAATGTCTAAACAGCTATGCATCGAAGTGCTTCATTTCGATAACTCGGTAATGTGAATAATTGAATTTACTTATATTTACAGCATTTACTGCCACAGATCAAACGTGAAGATGTCTCTCGGTCGTTAAAGAGTGATTATTACGCCAAACATCTCGCCAAATATATTTGCTTACTTGAACAAAAGGAGAGCCGTCATCTTTGTTTGCGACCCACGCACTGTCACTGTCAAGGCGCACATTCGAAGGGCTTAGAGATGGGCTTAGGAAAGACGAAGCGGATATTTGGAACTCATATACGTCACCGCTCTCCATTCCCAAAGGTGACTGACACACTGGAATAAAAAGGATAAATGGAGCTTAAAGCTAACAAGACAGATAAAATGTTAAAAGAATCTCTTTTGTTTTCGTTTACTCAGTTTACTTATGTAACTGTTTGTAAACTGTTTTGAAATAAAGAATTTTTTTTATTTTTATATAAAATGTTTTATGACAGAAGACTTAAGGGTTAGGTAATAAATTTTTGTCTTAAATAAACATGTTTTGAAAGGGGAATTTCAGCCCAAAACTTAATAACGTTTATTTATTCATCATAAAAAAGTTAGATAAAAACAGAAAAATTCTGATATTTGATATTTTAATATTGAATGTCTCAAACTTTAAGATTAAAAATAAAAAGTCCCACTAATAAGATATTTTCTGGTTCAAAGATTATCCTTATAATACCGTTTGATTAGGGCAGTGATAATTTTGAATGTGAAATAAAATAATATGTACTACAAAAGCACATTTATTAAGGTATTAATTATTTCTTCCGACCAATTTTTTTATTAGTTAGTAACAGTTATTTGTTTTTTCGCTAGCTATTAATTGTTAGCTTGTTTTCGGTAACTATTAACTGTTATTTTTTTGTGATTTCTTGTTAACTAGTTTTTTTGCTAATTATTAATTGTTAGCTTAATTTTTGTTAGTTATCCTTTGTTTATTTTTGTTTTGTTTTTTTAGTTATCCTTTGTTAATTTGTTTATTAATTACATAGCTTACTTTAATGATTAGCTCTTACAAAATTTTTTAAAATTGTGCGTCATATACAATTTAAACACTTCCATCTTATTTTAAGATAGTCAGAGACAATACAATCGCCGACAAAGATGTTCACGCG